CGCGGTACAGATGCAGGCGCCTCTTGACATCGTATGCTGCTAGAAGAAGAGTGTTGTCTATGCTCGTTAGTAGAAAAAAGACATGGGAAACAAAAGGGAAATACCATTATTGGAGGCGAAGGCGGCATGAGTGAACGACTCTTTGGTGGAGATCATGGGGCCCAGTTGGGCGGATGCCTCCTGCCAGTTGTTGTCGTTTTGTTGGAAACGGAGTTTGAGTTCACCATATCTCTTCAGATAGATGAGTGAAGCTTTGCCGTCGACAGGATGATGGGCATTGTTGAATAAATGTTGTCGAATGTTCCATTTCCACTTGTTGCCTTCTCGTGCAGCTGACCATGCAATCAGATTCTAGAAGAGTGTAAATGATTTTAGCCGTGCCGAGATGATGGGAATGCTACCTTTTGTGCATAGGGTAGGATTGCGAGCCAATGCATGCCGACAACAGCGTCGACTTCTGATTCTGGATGGGCAATCTCAGCTCTGGTGAAGTGCATGCGGTCCAAGGCCATGGCACAGGAGAAGATCATGACGCGGCCTGCTTGGTCCATGACGGCCAGGTCGTTGCCCAGATGGCTCCATGACAGGTGAATTAATGGAAATAATTCGGAGCCCTGGGGCAGCTCGAGAGGAACCGTCTTTCCGAGAGCCCACTTGCCGGTTTCAGGGTTGCGGGAGAAGATTTTGAGGTTGACGGAATAGCCATCTGGAGTTATGTAGGCGACACAGCCGTTTTTGGACCATGAGATCTTTCTATCACGTGTCAGAGGAGGTTGGAGAGGCAAGGAAGGCTTGGCCTACTGGCAGCAGCCGGTAGAGCCCAGTTCGTCGATACGAGCATCCCGGCCTTTTGCGGGCGGTGTGGTGTTTATAGTCTGGATGTTGACATGTTCCGAGTCGCCAAAGAGATCGTCCACGTCCATGTTGTAGCTTGCGCCATCCATGATGAGGGGCGCCCGGCACGAGGGGCGGCTAGAGCAAGGGGAGACTAGGAGCGGGTGGGGCCAGCAGCGGCCGGGTATCACAGACAGCAAAACGCAGGAAAAGAACGAGGGACGATGTTGCAAGGCGAGCGGCAGAGGATTGCAGAGGCTCCTCGCAGGCTCCCGAGGCGTGGTTGGCACGCAAGAGCAAGGGCAGCATGGATGGCGGCAGTAAGCGACGCGCTAACGGCGACTAGCGCGCTTCTAGCTCGTGCACTGTGCGTTGAAGCTGGGTGCACCGTCGTCATGGCCAACTTTTGATCCCAACACGGCCCTGGCCACGACGGATGCAGGCGCTGCAAGACACGGTGTGCAGCTTCAGAGGCACAGTCGTGGCCCGGACGAGGCGCTGCGACGAGAGAAGCGCACATTGCTTGTACTGTTGGTTATTCCCCCGCCGGCCAAGCAGCAGAATCGGGCGTAGGCAGAAAGAGACATGTGATGTCGCAAAAAACAGCCAATGCTTTGTACATACATAGCACACATGTACACATGTACTTAGCCGGCCAATAACTAAGTACATGGCCAGAAAGACCATTCCACGACACGGACAGCTGGCTGTCTGTGGTCAGGCTTGCTTCTGCTGAGCACTGGATGCTGGATCGACTCAGCACGAGCCCGGACCACAGCTATGGACGCATGTCTCTATGAACTGTAAACAGGTGGGTGTTTGGGTGGCCGCTTGGCGGGACTCTGCAGCGGTGCCCCATGGTTGTCGAGGTGAACCAGCGCTGGGCCCGTCATGGTCGCAACCTCCGCCAAACCTCTTCAACTCGCCCGCTCTCCTCCTCCTCCACCACCACACCCACCACAACCACCGCCCCGGCAGCCACTGCAAACGCGTCTGTTTGCGACGCGCACCCGCCCTATTTTTATCGCGCCTTTCACTTCCGGCGCAATGGCCTAGCGCTCCCTTTGCTATTCGCACCCATCTCCTTGACGGGGATCCAACGGCCAGCGGTGGACAGCAACCACGACCCACACATAGCCCTGCTCATTCTGCGCTTCCCACACGCCCGCCCTCAGCACACGCCCTCTACACGCGGCATTTCTCCGCAGCCCTCTCAACTTCTCTTCGCACACTCTATGCGCGCCTCTAGCGCGATAATTCCAGCTGCAACTCCCGTTGTAGCTCCCGACGCGGCCTACCGCTGAAGCTGCTGCCGCCGCTTCCTTTCACCATCGGATCTCTGCACCGCACCCGCTGGTCGCTGCCCACTGCTCGACACCCCACACCACTCGCGTCGCGCCTGCCCCCTTCACAATGGCTTCTCCCACCCCAACAAACGTGCCTAGCTCGCCCTTGACAGAAATGTCGGATTCTGAAATCTCGCTCCTCTCTCGCTCACCTACTCCACCCCCCGAGCTGACCACGCTCGCCCACCGACGCGCCTACATGTCGCCCTCGTCCTCACAGCGCTCGTCCGCCAAGACAACGCCTGTCCCCGAAGACATGCCCTCGCCCCCATGCAGCAGCAACGACGACAACCCGCGTCCACCAAAGAGGAGGAAGACAATGGAACCCAAGGAGCGCACGGCAGAATATCTCGACCTGTCCAAGCCCGACGTTCCCCTAGAACACCTGCCCCAGCTGCAGCGCTTGCTGACCGTCTTGCACAAGAAGCGCAAGATTGTCGTCATTGCAGGGGCTGGTATTTCCGTGTCAGCTGGCATTCCAGACTTCCGCTCTGCCACCGGCCTGTTCAACACGCTCAAAAAGGAGCACAAGCTCAAGTCGTCTGGCAAGGACCTGTTCGACGCTTCTGTTTACCAGGATGACACGTCCACATCGACGTTCCACGACATGGTCCGTACCCTCTCTCACCATACCAAATCGGCCCAGCCTACCGCCTTCCACCACCTCCTCGCTACGCTGGCCCAGGAAGGCCGCCTCATGCGACTCTACACCCAAAACGTCGACGGCATAGACACATCGCTGCCTCCTCTAAGCACCCAGGTCCCGCTACCAAAGAAGGGACCCTGGCCCAAGACCGTGCAGGTCCATGGCGGCCTTGACTACATGTCTTGCTCCAAATGCCACGCGATAACGCCCTTTGATGCTGAGCAATTCAACGGTCCCAGCCCGCCTCCTTGCCCGAGCTGCGTGCAAAACGATGAGATTCGTCAGGTCGCAGATAAGAGAAGCCATGGCATCGGCCGTCTGCGTCCACGCATGGTCCTGTATAATGAGCACAACCCCGATGATGAATCAATCGGTTCCTGCGCGTCATACGACATGCGCATGAGGCCAGACGCTGTTATTGTTGCTGGCACCACCCTCAAGGTCCCAGGTGTACGGCGTATCGCTCGCGAAATGTGCAACATTGTTCGTGACCGCAAGGATGGTGTCACGATATGGCTGAATAATGACCCTGAGCCAGTTGGAAAGGATCTTGAGGACAAGTGGGATTTGGTCGTCAAGGGCCCCTGTGACGAAGTTGCTCGCCACGCCAACATGCGCCGGTGGGATGACCCAATGGAGTACAAGACAGTCACGGACGAGCATCTGAGCAAAATCAAGGAAAAGCAAAAGGCAGAAGTGGTCATTGGTACCCCTCGCAAGCCGGGTGTTCTGCGCAATGCCGGCCAGCTGACACCTGGCCAAAGCCCACGCATCCTTGCTCACTCGTTTGACAAGGAGGAACCAGAAACACCATCGAAGAAGGGCACAAAGAGAAAGGCGGACATTCAAAACGCTCAACTAGATCTCTTTGGCAAGGTAGCAGGAAAAGCACCCACAAGAAAGCCCAAGGGACAAACGAAGAAGGCAGCAGGAGCAACCAAGACCAAGGCCAAGAAGGAGCCCAAGGAGGTTCCTGCCATCAACAATGTCTTCAAAGCTACCAAGGGTGCTGTAAAAAGCGGCGCCAAATCTTTGGCCAAAAAGTCTGATGCTGCTTTTCCCCCCATTGAATCACAGTTCAACCCACAGCTCAAGCCAAAGGAAAACGTCGCCAACGTGATTGCTGTTGGAAAGGGCCGGCATCCGGTCACTCCTAGGAAATTGGCAAGACTGACGAGGATCAAGTCAGACTATGTCTTCCAGCCCGTGTCAAACGTGGACGGTCGCAACAATCACTCGCCAAAACGGCCACCTATTGAAAGCTTTACACCTACCAAGGACCGAACACCCAATGCTCAGATTGAGGAGGAAATGGCATTTGCACACGCCACATGTACGAGTGAGTCTCGTCCTTCATCATCTGGGAGTGCACAGCGGCATGTAATCGAGAGCCCTACAGGTGCTGTTCCCAAGAACATGAACCACCTTCTTTGCTAGCATCCATCGCATTTACCGGCGCTGGAGGTACGACATATTTTATTCTTCTTTTCGCATTTGTGCGCGTGCTATGACTGGTTTGAGGCGTTTGCTCGTGTGTACAGATGTATTTCAGCTGTATCATTACCTTTTTTTCATGTTGGACATGCGTATCCTACTTGTTTCGGCTGCATGATACCCGGGCGGACCCCTGGTCGAGGCAGAATAGGACGTTAGAGTCCCTTGGGTCCTAGGACTACGTTTTCAGGAGATAGAATAGCGCTCTTGCCGCAATTGATATTAGTTGTTTACCATCTCAGTCAAGTCATCTTATTGGGCCATTTGACATGGAGTCGTATCAACGTTTTACTTTTTTCCATGCACCATGTTACTTCTCCCGCTCTCGATACGTGACTGTTGTTTACACTGGGTTACGCGTCTTTGACACGCCTTCGGAGGCTGGCGCAGTCTTGGCGCTTTGTCCACACTGCGTGTCTAGCTGACAACTTGCCTTTTGACCCTTGCCCTCAGCATGTTCGCCCGATATAGATTCGGCCTTTTTTTTTCTGCTCATGATAATCTACTGCTAACGTCTGGCTGTAATTGTATGCAATCCCAGCAAGCTGCTCTGTCTGGTGTTGTAAAACAGAATAACGCTACCTACTATATTCCGACTCAGCTAGACTGGGCGTGAAGATATCTCTGGTCTACCTTAGACAACTTTATCTCTAGACTGTAGAGCTCGGGAATCAAGCAAGATGTCTTCCCCACTTACGGTACGGAATCTGACTCCGATTGCTATTTCTCTGCTGCGTGTTGAGCGGTTTGAAGATCCAAACACACTACAATCAAAAGCCCATGGATACTTTTTGAGTCCCAAAAGCACTACGCCCGCAACACCTACGTCGCCAGAGCTCAGTGGACATGCCCAGAGTTTTAACCATCAAGATCTGGAAGTCACGTTACAGCCTTTTGAATCCTATACGCTCAAGTTCCCCAACCAAAATCAGCCTCGCAACGCAGCTACATTGTCAAGCCCAGTGCTCCGTATCACGATTCAAACGGCCAAAGCTGAACGCTATCGCATCGACTCGAATCCTTCGTACACGCAAAAGTCGACGCAAGCCTTTACTGCACTCTCTGCAAACCCCTCTGCAAACTACAATGCCATTTTTCACCCTTCTAAGCCAATTCCTCACCTGGCAATCCAAAGCAACCACATTCCCAGCTATGCCTCATGGATGTCCACACTCCCCGACAACCTCCCTCTCTCTGCAATCAGCATACCAGGAACACACAACTCACACACGCACTACCGTGCCCTACCATCCGTCAGGTGTCAAGTCCACGACATAAAAACCCAACTGGAAAACGGCATCCGCTTCCTCGACATCCGCGTACAACCCATCCACGCAACCGACACCTCAAAAAAGGAGCTCTACCTCGTCCACGGTGCCTTCCCCATCAGCCTAACCGGCCCCAAATATCTCGCCCCGATCCTCCAAACCTGCTACAACTTCCTCGCCGCCCACCCCAGCGAAACCCTCCTCGTCAGCCTAAAAAGAGAAGGCGTAGGCAGCGCAACAGACGACCACCTCGCCACTATACTGCAAAAACACTACATAACCCCCAACTCGACTCGCTGGTACACGCAAAACAAAACCCCTTACCTCTCTTCCGTCCGCGGAAAACTCATCCTACTCCGCCGCTACACCATCTCCCCACCCCCTTCCAACAATCCCAACGAAAAACTAGCCGGCCTCGACGCAACAGCCTGGCCCCACAACTCCACCCACGCCCTCTTCTCCTCCTCCCCAACTCAATCCTCCTTCTGCCTCCAAGACTACTGCGAAGTCCTCGTTCCCTCTCTGATCCCGGAAAAACTTCACCACTGTACCGAGCACCTCGCCCGCGCAGCAGCAGTTACGCATCCCATACCGGGTGTAACGACGGATGCCTCGCATCCCGTGCCGCCTGCGCCTTTGCACTTGAATTTTCTGAGCGCCAGCAATTTTTGGAAGAGGGCGTGTTGGCCGAGTGCTATTGCCAAGGTGGTGAATGAGGGTGTGGAGAGGGGGATGTGTGGGGGTTTTTATTTACAGAGTCTTGGTTCGGGACAGGAGGAAGAAGAAGAAGAAGAAGAAGAAGAAGGGGTAGTTAGAAAAAGGCAGGAGAACGGGGATGGAAGTACAGGAGTAGTCATTATGGATTGTGTGGGTGAAAATGGGGATTGGGATTTGGTTAGATTGGTGATTGGCATGAATATGGGTGTTTTACTCAAATATTCCTTTTGTATCGCTTGAATAGAATTGGGAGGGGTTTATTTTTGTTTCGGACCAAAAAAAAAAAGGTTGTACCATATACTTGTATACATTCCACATACATACATACACACAGACATCTTCCTCTTTTTACTTCCCACTCTCAGTAAAACTCTGCTTGACCTCCTTAATCCCCTCCTTGGCAATCGCCCCAACATCCACCACCTTCTCGGGTGTCCCAGCCCAAGCCTGAACGCCTTGCTGCTCTGCAGCCCCAATCTTCTCTCTGAACCCCGTTGCTCGCAAATAGCCCGCAGTGGCCATTCCGACGACCATGCCGCCAAAATGACTTGCATGATCCATCGTCGTCTTCCTTCTCGTCGCCGAATGAATCTCCAACAGCACAAACGCTACGAAGAGCATCTTGGGCCAAAATGCAACTTCCTGATCCTTCAACAGCGGGATCTTGATCCTCTCTTGGTCAGTCAACAAGCAGTACAGTGCCGAGATACCCCAAATAGCTGCTGAGGCACCGACCGAATGCGCCGTGATGTTGCCTCTTCCGAGATTTGCCCAGTAAAGTGAGGCCAGAGTGCCGAGGGCACCAGCACTTATATACGTGCCCATGAAGACACCGCGTCCAACGAGATCACAACATACGGGACCGACAAGACACAGCATCATCATGTTGGCGAGGAGGTGCTCGTACTGGATGTGGCTGAAGACGTTGGTGACGCTCTGGATGGCGCGCGGGTAACCGGGAACGTGCATGAAGTAGCGGGTCATGAAGGGCCATAAGGGCATAACGCGCCAGCCTAGTGCTACGACGCAGTTTGCAACGACTAGGGCGCCGATGGTGGCGGTTGTCGGGGAGAGGTCTGGGAAGATGCGGTACGAGGGCGAGGGGGGCGTGTAGTAGTGTGCGAAGGCGTAGGAGAGGGCGATGGTGACGAGGACGAAGATGGTCATTGGGACGAGGCGTTGGGACTGGGGAGTACGTTGTTAGCAGAGTTTTTTTTTGAGGGGGGGATAGGTGAAAAGACATACTAGAGTTGTCTGTGCTAGGAGTTCTTCAGGTGTCGTTGCGTCCGTTACTTGAGCTGCTTTGTTGTACTTTTCCATTTCCTCTTTGCGGCGACTGACTTGCTCACGGCCAAAGACGTCAATGTACGTTGTTTGACCGGGCTTCATGAGTTGGGTGCCAGTTGGTGTGCGCACCCATTCTCCGCTCGCGAGTTTCTCTTCCATTTCCCTCTCCTTCTGCTCCTTCTCCTCTGCTTTGCGCGCAATCTCTTCTAGACGTGCCCGTCGCTTTTCCTCGATGTTGAGCTCAAATTGACTCTTGCCCGCGTGTAGAATGCCAATCTTTTGGTTCTCGGCCTCCTGTCGTATGCGTTCTTGCTCTTCCTTTTCCATTTGCTCGCGAAAGGCGCGGGCGGGGTCTTTGTATTTGGACTCGGTTTCGGGGTCGGCGAGCCATAGCTCGTAGGCTATGCGATTGGCTTCCTTCTCGGCCCATTCTTCTGCTGCTCGCGCTTCGTCTATGGGGTACTTTGCTCGCAGCCATTCTAGCCCTTTGAGCGCGGTTTCACGGCTCACGTGGGTGTACTGCTTGCCCAGATTGTCTACGCCGTAGTCGGCCAGGGAGCCTGCGGTGCGCCGGTGGTGCAGTATGCGCAGGACATTGTTTCCGTCTTGTGGTGATAACTTGCGGCCAAAGATGCGATGTACGGTTGCTTCGCTGACTGGCCCTTCAGGGAGTGGTCCTATGCGTACAGTGCGCTTGCGAGATTGCGGGATGGCGGGGTTCTGCGGCGTATCGATGACTCTGGCGCGGTAATGGGGGGTGCAGGCAAAGAAGCGACATTGCGGTCGTGATGCCCGGTGTCGCTGGACGAGAGCCAGTAACGGAGATGTTGTTGCCTGTCGAGAGTGAGGTTGTGTAGTACAGAGGCGGCGCGCGAGTGAGGCGCATGTCGGGCGGAGAAGAGACATGGCGAATTGTGCGCCTGTCCAGCCCCAAGCGTTTGCTATACCGAAGTAAACAGGGTGTTAAACTGCGAGTCTATAACTTTCTATAGTTCTCTAGTGTCTGCCAATACGCCAGGGCGACCATTGCATGGTGAGTGTGCTGCGAGCAATGGCACACTCGATGAATGCATCATACATCGTCCTCCACAAAATGTTGCCATGTCGGAGTCTGTGCTCAGCCCTACAACATCACCATGCATCTGCATACATGGTAGATCCACACTTTACTTCTTCCTTCAGCACCAAGAGCTTTCAAAGTCACTGCATTTTGCATTCATATTTATTTAATCATCATGGTATATACATTGCTCCTCTGCTGGTTTCCCCCAATGAACCCACTACACTATCAGCCTACACATACGCAGACACATACTCGTCCTTCTCTAGCTTATCCGCAATATCTTTAATGGGCGACACATAATGAGTGTTCAACTGTATCAGTCCCTCATTCATGAGTAGTGCCACCATATTGCCAAATACAATGCTTCCTCCATCGTTGAGATGGGTATTGTCCGAAGGCGACAGGTTGTACGTATGCGCTTTATCAGGCCCAATGGCATTTAGGTACTTTGTGCTCGCCGCATTGAGATCTATATATTGCGCGCCAATCTGCTTCGCCACCTTTAATGTTGCAGCCGCCATGTCTGCCAGGTCCTCTTTGATGCGGCCAGCCGAGTCGAAATTGCGTCTGCTGAGCGGAGTCACCAAGATAGGCCACGCCGATACGTCCAGTATATCCTGGACAAACCTGGCAAGGTTGGCCGAGTACTGTTCAATCGAGATATTCTTGGCCGGCTTCTGGTCGTTGTGTCCAAACTGACACACTACGTAAGTGTCGTATTCTTTGGTTGCGGCTTTTGCGGCTGCGAGAACGTTGGCCCAGTCGCCTCCCTCGCGGAACGACACCGTCGTCGCGCCGTTATGGCCAAAATTCTTTCCTGTCGCTCCGGCATGCAGAGTCGTATTGAGGAAGCCGGCGCCCCAGCCGCCTCCGTTTACCGACTGCGGCGCCGTGGTCGAGTCGCCGGCTAGAGCGAAGAACGGCGGTGGGCGCACTACATCTGGAGGAGCTTCAAGGGCCGTGGCTGTGGCCGACGAAGCAAAAAGCCCAAGGTACGCCAATGTTGAATAAAAATGCATCTTAACTTGCTTGAATCTCCTGGGTCCAAGCTAAGACTGGCAAAAAGAATTCTTGGTTAGTGCTTTCTCGACGACACGGAAACCTTACACCTTTTATGCATGTATCCGCCTCGGGCCTACTACTCCAACGATCTCGAGCAGGGACTATTATTAGTGACGCACTCCATACCCCCTCAATCGACTCTTGGTGCAAAGGAGCGGTCTAGGTTTGTTTGGGCTCAAAACAAATGGGTAGATTCAACTTAAACTGCACTTTTCCACCAATCGGTTTAATAGCTGACGGCATGGCTCATCGCGCTCCGTGCCATTCATAGTCATCCAATTAACCATTTCTCTCAGTAACGGGATAATGCAAGGTATTCTCGAACACGCAATTGTCAGAGTACATGGGGTCATTTATCTGACTACCATATGTCCTGTTGAACTTCAGGGGTAACTGGCAACATCATAGTCATGTCAGACTGCAATGCAATGCTTACGCTCCAGCATCTCCCTTGTCTTGACAAACCGCCCCTTCCCCGTCTCTGTTGTTTTCCTTCTTCATTCTAATAAACTCTTGCTTCATGCTTTCGAACTCCCTGAATCCCTGGAAGTACTTTCGGCGAAAGTCGTTTAACTCACTCGCTCTTGTACCCTTTTCGTATTCCTTCTTGACAGCCTCCAGCGCCCCCTCTGGCATTTCTGATTCACGGCGCCGCCGGTATGTAAGGAGTCGACGCGACCATTTGTTGAAAGCTTGCACGCACACCGATGTCAGTTCCAAGCCTGGATGCGAAGGTATTATCAGTTCAATGTCTTCGTCATTGGCAGTCGGCATCCACATGCTGAGTCGCCCGTCTTCCACCAGCGTCGCAACGGCAAACTCAAGTATATCGTCGAGCAACGCAGTGAAAGAGTACGGTCGCTTGGGTGGAATATACCCCGGTTCCTTGAATTGATCTTGATGTGACTTCCGCTCTTTTTCGAGAAGCTCCTGGCGGGACCCGAGTACCTTGAGGCCTTCACGGATCCCGTAAGGTGGATCGCATACGATGCCGTCGAGATAGCCTTTGCTGTTTTGACTGCCCGTTGGGAGAATCCTTAGTGGTGTGTTTGTGAGATCGGAAACAAAAGCGCCTAGATATCTCGATTCGATACCGTATTGTTTGAAGTTGCCAATTACATCGTACTTTCCCGTCTGCCCTCTTCGAGCACTTCCCCCTGTGCCCCGGATAGTGCGACCGTCGATGTCACTTCCAAACACCACAGCGCCGAAATGTGCACATGCGATTGGAAAGCCACCCGTACCCATGAATGGGTCGTAGAACACCTTCCCTGGCGCTACATGTGCGATATTCGCCGTAACAAGCGTGAGCTCTGCATCCATAGATGTGGTGCTGATGTAGTGTCTTTTCTTGAGATCAAACGTCTTCTTTGCCTCATTACGACACGAATCCGCGATGAAGCGACCAAAATAGAGGTACTTTGGTTGTTTGGCATCTAGCTCATAGTCTTCAAATACGCGGAATGCCACGTCTGGGTCGCGCATTCGTGGAGGTCCCTTGAATGCCATGTACGAGAAACTGTCGATGATTTCACGCTGCTCGTCGGTTGATCTGCCCCCGCGATAACCTTCGATGGTGAAGCGGAAGGAAGACGTCTCGTACTGAGACCATTTGCTTGCAGTTAGATTGCGGACGGACTCATGGAGAGCGTTGTACTCTGCGCCCTCGCCCCATAGCTCGTATATGCCTTGAGAGAGAATGCTGCGGGCGATGAGTTTTCGTGCTGCTGCGTCTGACACTAGTTCCACAATACAGTATGGAGACTTGAAATGTTAGGATGTGGGTTTTTTAAGACAATGAAATGATCCTTCGTGTACCAGGATAGATACGCAGAAAGATGAAATTCGTGCATACTCGATCGAACATCACATAATAAACCAAATTATGTTAACACGGACTGGGAGAAATAAAAACCACACTCACATCTTCTTGATACTTGACAACCTGCAGTGATATGCCCGCAACATCCGCCAAGGCCTGTAACTCGACCCTGCGGAAACTTTCGTGTGCCTGCGCCAGTCGAACCAGGTACTGCGGCATGGTCGCTTGTAGCCTTCCCCCCAAAAGTGAAAATAAGAAAAAAAAAGTTCAGAGGCTGGATTGTTCACAACCCCACAGTTCTGTACGTCAAGAAAAACTTCTTGAATAAGGTATCGACTCCACTAATCGGGCGATCTTCCAAACTGTTGCTTTTGTCGTTGCCGTGGTGTCTGTGTCAAAATGTAGAGGAGTCACGAGTCCGTCTATCGCGCGCTAGCGGATTGGAGTAAGGATCTGTTTAGTCATCCGCTTTTTGTCTATCATTTTGAGGTTGTCACTAACTAGATCTAAATTACACTTCAGAAATGACGACTATTCGATAAATTCACTAATAACCTCAGCGAGGTACCTTGTAATTTTGAATAGATCACAGCAGAAATACATGCGGGTCAACTCTTTCAAAAATAACCAAGCCTCTTTCCTTCTTCACTATCCGTCCACAAAAGCACAAGCAAAACGCAGTGGCCGGCAGAGATACCACTGCAGAATATTTCGAAAGCTACTTCGCCAACGGCTTAAGCGTGTGACCAGCGATAGTGCGGATAGAAGACATAAATTTTTGGAAGCTTCCTACGTACCTGCATGAAAGTTAGTATGCGGAACGTAATATTGATAAATCACTCACAAGACGTCTAGTCCAACCACAATCGGTCGTCCTACATGGTATCGTTTTCAAACGATTATCGCCATTGATATTCCTTATCTTATATCAAGAGCCTACTACTTCTAATCGTCGAGTCACCCGTTGTTGGGCTTGCTTTTCGACGTTGTTTTGAACCTTCACCTTTTCTTATTAGACACGGGAATAAACCGGAGTAGTAAGTCCTGTTATAACCGACTACGCAACGATCAAGGACTCTATTCGATCTGGTGTTAGCCGCACGATCCGCAACGTACGAGCGCTTCCTCACTCCCACGTAAATGCACCCCCCTAAATCGGATGACAATCTTTGGTATGCCATGATCAAGACAATTCCATGCCTGGTTTTCGACTATCTATTGCGGGGAGCCTATCGCTGGCTCATTGCAATTCTCTTAAGCCCGATATCCGCAACTAGTACCAGAGGCGTTCTTTTTTTGAGATATGGAGCAGATCGGCATAACATATTAAGCTATTCACGTGTAAAGTTTAATTGTGCTCAGTGAAACCCACAATTTTCCTCTTTGAGGCGGTATCCATGTAGTCGGGACCATCAATCAATCGACGTTACACGCTTATGTGTGTTGAGCGGAGATGGCATCTCTGACCCTTCGCTCGACGAAATGGGAACATAAATCATCAGCTTATTGCACTACTCAACATACTGTTCTGAATCAATCAAAAAATCTCAATACGATCGATGTTATTCACAATAAAACCCTTTCCTTATTCAGTGTCTCGCCAACTATCTATATCTTTGTTCTCATAGCTGCAATCCCACCTATCTTATGGGTACGTCACTTGGCCACAAAACAGCGACCTCTTCGCGAGGTTCCTATTCTCAATGCAAATGAACAGACGCCTGGGGAGAGCTGGCATACCAAGCCACGAGAGTTGCTTAGTAAAGGAAGAAAATTGTATCCCGACCAGCCTTTCCAGATCATCACTCACGGTGGCCCAAAGATTGCTCTTCCCCGACGATGTCTTGAAGAAGTCCGCGACTCTCAACAAGCAGCCTTCCCTCCTTATTTCCTAGACGAGGCGCCTTGGAACCTGCCCGGTTTCGACGGCCTATTACGAGCAACAAACATGCATCGCTCCTTCGAGAAACCATCAGTGCTAAGCTCACACAGTCCCTAGGACTTATCACTGAGAGCCTAGCAGATGAAGGTATTCTAGCTACCGAAGACCTTTTCGGAAACCTTGCTCCTGGACAGTGGCATACGATTATATTGCTCGCTGAAGCAACGAAGATAATTGGTCGCTTCACTGCTCGCGCTATGCTCGGTGAAGAGATAGCTCATAATCACGAATACATTGACATATCAATGAAATACGGCGCCACTGCTTTGACAGCAGCTTTGCGGTTTCGTTCCTGGCCCCGTATCTTATGGCCCATCATACAATACTTTATTCCACTGAGCAAGACGGCTCGATATCAGACTCAAAGAGTACGTTAGTTGATTGCAAAGGAGATTGAACGCTGAGAGAAGGTAGCAAGAGCTACTATTGCTGCTGGTAAGAAAGTTCCAAAGGCACACGACTCCATAGCGTGGATTCTCGAACAAAGTAAGACAGATCAGAAGCTTGATATTGTTGGCTTTCAGTTAGCCATATCTATGGCTGCCATTCACAACACGAGCGGGGTGCGTACAAAATCGCATTTTCTTACATCGAAATTTCTTGGTTTACTGAGAGATTTTAGCATCTGTTCACTGCTCTCTGGTGCCTTATCGCGCATCCCAAATATATCTCACTTCTCCGAGAGGAAGCCATCTCAGTTCTCAAGGAGTACGGATGGACAAGGCAAGCCTTGGCTCGTCTCAAATTACAAGATGCTGTGCAAGAGGAATGCATGAGAATACTTCGGGGCAACCTCAGGACTGCACGCCGACAAGTCGTTAAGGGAAACTTGACATTCTCAGATGGATTCACTATTCCTAATGGTCGAAGGTTTTTCGTCATGCCTCCCGCTGATTACCAGGGTGAAAACGAAGAGTTTTATCCAGAGCGCTGGCTCGAAAAACAAGAAGAAGAAGGACAAGCGAACAAATACTCCTTTATCACGGTGAATCTAGAGAATCCAGAGTTTGGAATAGGCAAGCATGCCTGCCCAGGGTGAGTCTTTTTATCCATTCCTTTCTGTTCTCCCATCTCGTTCATGCCCCAGCCCCTCCCCGTAGGGTGCATAGAGACACGTAATAGGATCGTTGACTCGTCACGTATCTAGCCGATGGTTTGCAAACGACGAGATGAAAATCGCACTCTGTATCCTCTTGCTACGCTACGACTGGAAGGCTACGCCCGGTATGCCAAAGCCACTTTTCGATGCGTGTGAGGACTTTCCTACATTCAAAAGCTCGCTCCAGGTTCAAACCACCCCTAGAGAACCGGAAATTGATCTTGCGTCCTCGAAGATGTGAGAATGTTGTAACATCATGCCCAACACTCTCATCTCTATCGCCTTTGCTACATGGCCTATTGTCTCCTCAGATAGCTATATTTGACATAAATAAAAGACACCCAGAAGTATTGTCCGAGAAATTGACATTGTCTAACTCAAGTATATCGCTATCATCCAAACAAATCCCGCTATGAAAAACTGAATTCACCGCCCAAGTCGTTCATTCACACATGCTCTCCACTAACCAATAAACCCATAACACCCCTAACCCCCTCGCCTCCCCCTACGAACAACATCCGTATCCGCCTCGGCCCACGTCATCTCGCACACAAGTCCCTGCACCACCTCCTCCTTATCCCTGCACCCCTCCGTCCACCTCTCCCTAAACCGTCTCAACTCCCCACTCCACCCATCCCAAAGATAATACCTCCCCCCTCCATCCCTTAGTATAAATTTATCACCTTCTGTAGCCTTGACTACGGGACACAACCCCTCGATACCGTAGTCAGTGGCGAGATTGACAGGGGAGTCCGGGTCGAAGCAGCTTTCGAGGTAGAGTTTTGTGGGGTCGTTGGTCCAGGATTGGCGGAGCGTGTGGTGGTAGGCGCTTGTGAGGGAGATGTAGGGGATGCCGTTGTGGAGGGCGGTGTCTGGTGGGGAGGGGCTAGGGAGAATGGGGCTGGGTGGGACGGGGCTGAGGAGTGATTTTAATGAGTTTAGGAGGTATGATGTTAATTTGCTGAAGCGGAAGGTACGTCGTAGCCATGGTATGGTGTGCAGCAGGAGAAAGCTTATGAGGAAGGAGTGGGCGAGGGTTGGGTCGGGCTCGTGTTTTGTGGAGTGGATCTGGATCATTTTGGGGATGTTTCTTTGGAGATAGTTCAGTAAAGTAAAGTGGCTATATTCATTTCATGCTCTACGCATGTTATCGCGATGGGATTTGTAGTTTGATTTATGCCTTCTGCATTGCAAAGAGACTGATGTTACGTGACCTGCTATGGTAAAAGCAAAGCCATCACCAGACCCTCTTCGCCCAAGCAGGATTATCCACGTAGCTATCCTCTACACCTACAAACCAATGTAGTTTATGGTTTTGTGCCGCTCAGGGTGCAGGGATGGGCGAGCTGCCGTAATGGTGGTGATGTACCTGCCAGAACGTCATCCTTTTCCTGAGTCAAGATGTGGAGACCTTTTCGAAGAGGACATAACACTAGCCGTGTGGAAGTGAGAGTTGGTTACCTGACCTCTAGGGATATCATTACTCATACAACCAAATCTGTAGAAGCTATCCACAAAACTATTCAGAGATATATCTCAAGTCCTAGTCTTCTGCCAAATGAGTCGGTAACGAAGTGACGTATTCCTGTAAATTCACGACAGCCTCCGCAACAAGCCAAGTGATCATTCTGAATGGGGTGTAAAGACATTGCGACATCGCCTTCTGTAATGGTGTCATCAACTTTGGTTCGCATCAGAATATCTCTCTTAGACTCAAATTAAGCATACAAGGGCGATCTGATGCAGCCTATCGTCCTCCACATCAAAATCCATACCATCTGCATCATCTAAGAAGTCACTGAGCTACATATGCAAGACCAGTTGTCTCAAGCATACCCTATTCTCTACCCTTCACTTGAACATCCCAATAATCCCATATCCACGTACCTGAAAACAAGGCACAAAAAAAGCGATCACTCGCTCATGTCGATCAAGCCGCAGATCGGCACAAAAAAAGCTAAGAACGTAATGTAGGTACCACAAGACCCTGCATGTTACTTAGTTTTGGTTTCATTTTGGAAATCTGGGTCCTGACGATCACGCAAATGTGTACGAATCTCAGTGGTTGGGAGATATAAAAGCAAATATATCCCGCGCGACAGCCCTTATCACAGAGTCATGTTGCTTTGCTTGGCGACTATTCTTTTCTGCTTTCTGATGTTTTAATGTATATATACACACCGTGCATCATGCTGACGCAATGTTCGTTGTGGGTGCTACGTAGTTTCCAGCGTGGATTGTAGTAGCTCCCTCGCATCGCTCTAGACATGGCCTCTTCTGTACCATTGTCATGTATCGTATTGGATTTATTTACCATATGCAAGGCACACAGCAAGACTATCATCACAGAACAGCTACCTCTTATTTCCCTCGCAAGTTCTATTTACCTCCCTGATTAAAATTCATACTATAACCCCCACTCTTCTCATCCTTCGTAAACTGAAAGTTATCCGTGCTCAGCCCAAACGGCTTCAGTATTCCATTGCCCAACTGTTTCAGCTTGCCCATCATATCTGCCATCTCCTTGTTCTTCGTCTCTTCCAACTGCGCCGGCAGTGTCCGCAACGCCGCTTGCACCGCCTTCTGATCGAGGCTCGAGAGTCGGTGCGGTGGTTTGAGGAGAGCTTGGTAGTCTTCGAGTGAGCCCTGGAGAGAGGCCCAGCCACCGACTTCGTGGCGGGCTTTTGCGCGGCGGAGAAGTGCTTTGGTGCGGAGTTTGTGGACATCGTCTATGGTGTGATCGGTGCGTGTGAGAGCGTCGAGGTAGATTTCGGTAGTGTCGTCAATCTCTTGGACGGCACCGCCGCCTGTTACTTCTTTTCCTCCGTCTTTACTCGTGTCTTTTGAGGCTGGAGGAGGATCTATGCGGTCCAGTGCCTCCAAAGCTTTTGTGGCGGATTCCACGGCTTGCTTCCATTCCTCCAGCTTTAAGTGACATGCTGCTATGTTGGAACGCAGCACGGCGACATCGTATTCAAGATAGTTTGGACAGACTGCAAGTGCTTTCTCATATCCTTGTATCGCGCTGTTGTATTCGCCTGACGCAAATGTCTTGTTCGCTAAAGCCTTTTCCGCAGTTGCTTCATCGAGTAGTTTCTTCTCTTCATCTGGTGGGAATATTTCGGGTGTCGCCACTTCAGCTGCTTCAGGCTTTGAGAGAGGATCGTTCTTCAACGACATGCCTATCGGTGATCGAAAATGGATTGTGTTGTCAACAACCTTGGTCCATCTGTGGTACCTGTTGATCTGTTTGGAGAGTGACGTCTGTCGCCGAGCCGGAGGTCCGACTAGTGCCCCACGCTTCGGTCCAGTCAATAGGCGTGGGGTACCAAGATCCATTCACCTAGTCGCATCTTTTGCGAATCCTCCCGATCAAGCACCTAAGAACCCTTCCACACGCCTCGAAGACAGCCAAAATGGGTTCAAGGTACGCAATCCTCACCCAAAGTATCTATATCATATTCAATTGACACGAACCAGCACTACCACCCCACCACCCCGCATACGGGCCGCCCTCTTCGACATGGATGGCCTCCTAATCGACTCCGAAGACATCTACACAATAGTCACGAACAAAATCCTCGAGCGCTACGGCCGCCCACACATCCCCTGGTCCATAAAAGCCCAACTGCAAGGCCGACCAGGCCCACAAGCGGCACTGATCTTCCACGAATGGGCCAAACTCCCCATATCAAACGAGCAATTCCTCGCCGAGCAATCAAAACTCCAGCGCGAACTCTTCAAAACTACAAAACCGCTACCGGGCGTCCTGGACTTGCTGGAAGGCCTGAAGAGCAGGGGGGTGCATATTGCTCTCGCAACGAGCAGTCACAAGGGCAACTTTGAATTGAAGAGCGCGCATCTTGGCCATTTGTTTGATCACTTTGCGCCTGAACACCGTGTTTTGGGGGATGATCCGCGGATAGCGCCTGGTCGCGGGAAACCTGCTCCCGACATTTACCTTCTTGCGCTTTCGACACTCAACAAGACATTGGAAGAGCAAGGACAACCGCCTATTCGGCCGGAAGAGTGCTTGGTTTTTGAGGATAGCGTGCCAGGGGTTGAGTCTGGTCGGAGAGCAGGCATGCAGGTGGTGTGGTGTCCCCATCCAGATTTGTTGGTGGAGTACAAGGGCAGGGAGAAAGAGGTACTTGCAGGACTGACGGGCGAGTACAAAGAGACTGATGAGGAAAAGAAGAAGAAGGCGGAGGAGTTGGCTCTACAAGGAGAGCGACAGATTGACACGACTATGCAGATTGACGATGGATGGGCATGGTTGTACAGTACCCTGGAAGACTTTCCATACGATACCTACCAAATAGAAACAAAGGTCTGAGATATGGGGTCGGGGTAGCCAAAGAGATACCTTATTTAGAATTATAGCAAGGTACCCCCGTAGATTGACTAATAAGAACACTAAACTCACGAAACTCTTCATTCCACTTTGGACGCAATCTTTCCCTCCTTCATAAAAAAACATGATTCGTATTGTTTTGTCATATACTGAATGATTTGATCGTCATCTGCATGCACATGCTAAAGTGTGAAGCAGCAGCGGCTCATAGACCCATAGCCATACTCGGCCATTTCGGATTACACTCCCATTCATTCCCCCAAAGACTGTGTCAACGCCGATCCGTCATGCGCACTGCCCGCTCAATCTCATGTGGTACAACTCGTTAAACGCAAGGAAAGTGGCCTATTTATGCGACCTCCTCAATCTTGGGCTTGTCGCCTGACGCGGCGGCTGCGGGCGCCTTCTCCTTGTTGTCCTCGTCATTTTCGAGCTCAGGCATGTCGTCATCGTCGTCGCTGTCGTCGCCGCCGGGGGCACCACCACCCATGTTTGCCATCATTTGGCTCATGTCCATGCCCTCCATTCCAGGCATTCCACCCATGCCGCCTGCGCCAAGCTTGCTGAAGTCGATGCCACCAAAGCCTCCGTCACCACCACCCATGGGGTTCATTGCGGACGTGTCAAGGTCATCTGCGACTTCGTCTTGCTCGTCCTCATCGACCCACTGTGACATGTTAGCTTCGTTCTCGTGGCATTATCATTACTGGCTAGCTCACCTTGTCGAAATCGGTCTTGAGGAAGTGCTGCCTCTTCGACTCCTTGAGCAGACGGGGCCAGTACTCCTGCTTGTGCTCTTTCTTCCTTAGTAGTAGCTCAATGCCACGGCCGTTGTTATGCCATTTGCAGTTTTCAGTGTCGATCTCGGCGTAGAATTCAAGGTCAACTGCGTATGTGGCCTTCTTGGAAGTAGAGGTACCCTTGAAGCTGAGAGATTGGTCCTTGAGTTCGAGCTTCAGGTCGTCGTTCGATAGGTCGGGGGCAACGATGGTAAGATAGATTATATTCTTAGCCGGTTCGTCGGCGGATGAGCGTTGCGCCCAAAAGACTGTTGCGTATTAGCATATGTTGGACGGTAAGAAAGCCCCGGACGCGTCTCCGATAGTCGTAAGTGGTCTACAAATAACAACAAATCGGATTGCGTCTCCATGGACTTGAGAGGGTGTGCAAGGCACAAGTGAAGTATCTCTGGAGCTTTGGTGGTAAACAAGGCTGTAACATACCTTCTGGGGTGATAGTAGTCATTTTCAAGGTCGTGATTGTATGATGTGGTGTTCGGTTCAAGTCCGGATACGCTTCAGCGTGTGTCTCAGTTTATGTAATGGGCGTTGATTGTTGTTCAGTCAAAGTGTTTGTCTGGAGGAAGCAGATTGAAGGCGGAAGAAATGCGGCCCTGTGGAGAGACTAGCGTGGAAAGCAATAGAAGCTCTGTGGAATCTTTGGGTTCAACGACCCGTTTTTGGTCAATCGATTACGAAATGCAGGTCGGAGGACAGTGTGGACGCGTATGTCACCTGTGGATTTGTATTTTCTTGCTTATCTCACTCGCTGTCGCGGTGGCTGGCAGACTCTGGACTCTGAGGCTAGTGGGCTGCTCGTGCCCCGCGAAGGGTTCAACGTCACCATGGCCCGAGCTCGGCCTGGAGCCGGTCCAAGGCCGCCATCCTTACGACACCTCGGGCCCTGACATGCAGCACATCCACATGCACATCCACCTACTGCCCTGTCACATGCTCCCATGCTATTCACCCTTCGCTTGATCTGCTACTATTCTGCCATTCGCCCCGTCTAGCTGCCGTCACGTGTCTCTTGATTCTTGAGCCTGCCAACTCCCGCCCAACCCGCATCCACTAGCGCCAGACGACTCCCACTCCCAAGAACTGCGCATCTGGCGCCCGCAAAACCATACTGTGCGCATCCAGATAGACTGATTGCCCACTATGGAGACCATCAAGGGTCTCCTGTGGAAGCCCACGCCCGAAGAGCAGGTAAGATAGTGCTACGTCACCACATCACAATCTCTACACGACAATCTAACAAACCCACAGAAGCGCAAATGCAATGCCCTCGTGCGCCAGAATGTCCGAAAGCTCGATCGCGATATCCAACAGCTCAAGGCCACGGAGCAAAAAACCAAAAATCTCATCCAACAGTCATCCAAACGCGCCCAGCGCAACCCAGCCATGGCCAAGCAGGCCAACCAAGACGTCCGCATCTTTGCCCGCGAACTGATTCGCGTGCGGAAACAAAACAACCGTCTCATGACATCCAAGGCACAGCTCAACAGCGTGCAAATGCAGGTCAACGAGGCCTTCTCTGTTAGGAAGATTGAGGGCAGCATCAAGGCCAGCACGGGCATCATGAAGGATGTGAACAGTCTAGTCAGACTTCCAGAGCTGACAGGCACCATGAGGGAGCTCAGCTCTGAGTTGATGAAGGCGGGAATCATTGAGGAGATGCTCGATGACACGCTGGGCGAGAATGAAATGCTGGAAGGGGAAGCTGAGGAGGCGGAAGAGGAAGTTGACAAGGTGCTCAGTGAGGTGCTCAAGGATCGGTTACCGCCGAGCAAAGCTCAAGAGGAGGAGCTTCCTGCTGCACCCCAACCAGAGGAGGAAGAGGAGGAAGACCAGGCAGAGATGCTGGCTCAAATGCGGGGCCGACTCGAGGCTCTCAAGAGCTGAGTCTATTCATGCCGATTACTTTTGATCTTTTCGTCCATAGAGTCATCATGTGGTGTTACGGCGTTGTGGCGCATTGCGAGCACCCAAAGTGGCATACGAGTTGCATATTCAAAATTCATATTTTGCCAATCCAACGAGAAGCCAATGTGATGGCATATGAAATGAGAGTCACAAGGAACCATTTTCACATCAACAGCACACTTGTAATTTCTTTTCAGTATTGGCTGGTACTCTCTTGACATGCCATCCTAATCTCCTCTAATAATCTTTCCTATAAACTTCAGTTCCCACTCCTTCGGATCGTCACCAACAAAACGTGCATTCGCCCGCTCATCCAGCACCAGTGTCGTGACCGCAATTCCACTGTACCATTCCCGCACCTTCTCGTCAGCATCCTCGTTCCATACCGTCAGCGTCCCATCAAGATTCATCGATGTCACTTTGGGAGGGACACCGCGCATCTTGAGCAGCATGTTGAGGATATCGCTGAATTTTTCGCCTTGCTGAGAGAATGTGGACGGGGACTTGTCGAGTGGCCATCGGGGATTGCGATAAGGCTGGTTCAAAAGGTCTTGTGCCGGTGCTGGAGGAGACGAAGAATGGACTGTAGTGGAATCGAGAGCAGACACAAGGTCGGCGTGAGAGTTGGACGTCTGCTTGCAAGAGTCGTTACCGCTTTCGCCTGGTGAAGTCGTAGATGGAGCTTCCCAAGAACGGAAGAGCCAGCACATTCGCTCTACACAGGCCAGGAGTATAACTGCAACAAGAAAAGTTTCAAACGGATTTGCTTGTTGGCGCTGCAGTAATCTGCGTTCGAGGTCGTTCATAACAATGCGTGCAAGACATGCTGCCCGCTTCTCTGTCGCGCCCATGAGCTGCATGCTAATGAGGTTGTGGGAAGAGGCATGCTCCAGAGGTGTAATAGGCATGCGAATTGCATCGTCGATATCTGCGGCAGACAAAGTTGAGGGGGCCAGAGTAGGTGCAAGAGATGGATTGGAGAACAAGTGCCATTCGAAGTTGCGGGACGTGAGTATGCGGGTTAGATTCCAAAGCTCCAGCGACTTGGATATCAGTCCATCGGGGCTCAATGATGCAATGCTTTTCGCGCTGTGTACCGTTGCCTTCATGAAATGGGATTCCTCGGTGTCGGCAAAGTGACCAGCCATCTTTTTCACATAGTGATCTACTTTTCCACTAACATCATCATCGTTATCTATCAACTCCAAATCTGGTGACGCTAGTCCTGAGAAAATAGCCGGGTCGATATCCGTGGTCTGGGTCGCTGCGGTTTGTTGACATTTCAGTGGGGTAAACGTTGCAAAAGTCCCAGAAGCAGGGAAGTGGCTGGCTTCTATCCGTCCTGGTGTCTGATCAAGTCGTATCTGGCCTTTTGCTTGATTGGTGGCGTGGAATGCGAGGACGCTGTGCAAGCCCGCGGTATAGAGCCCAAACTCTTCTGCTATCCGTGTCCGAATGCAAGGTTGCTTCCAAAGCCTTGCGCTTTCAACATTCTGGCAAGTATTGCATGGATTTTCTCCAGAACAAGGCTTCTTGAGCATACGACACCGGATACACGCGCCTCGCTTGCGAACCTCTTGCACTTCCTTCCGCCTGGAGTCGGTGAAACGCCCTCTGACCTTTGGCTTTGCTGGCTTTTGGTTCATACTAAAGTCCGTTGTGAAGTGCGTTTGATTACCCGCGTTCATGGCAAGCGGTCGCTGGTGAACCATTCCTTTGTGATTGTCGTTCATGTGCATATGTTCTTTGCTATGGTCTTGCAGCATTGGGTCGAGTGAATTGGGTTGTATATTCGGCCAGTGCCCACGTCCTTGCGTATGAAAGAACTTTCCGTCCGACATGTTGTGCAGACCATGTCCCGAGAGATTCATATCCGAATCCATTGACAAGCCGTTGGTCAGCGGCATCAGATCGTTTGCCGCAGATGCCGCCATGACGAGTGAAGGAACCATGTGCGACATGGATGAGGAGTTTGAAAGAGGCATGTGGCCCATGTGCGGGGAAGTTGTCGGTGAGTGATGCAGCGAATTATTGAACTGGTACATAGACGGCATAGCTGGTGGGTTTGACATGTCCATGCCATGTGAAAGGCCACCCAAATCGGAACTGTCCGGTCTATCATCTTGTATCAGAAACTCTTCCAATAGCCCTGCATGACTTGCATTACTGTGGCCGTGTTGCGTTTGTGAGGGCTGCTTCTCTGCCATTCGCTTTCCAGACAGGTCCAAGTGTTGTCGCGAGACCTCAGCTAGCGTCTCGAGAGCAGAGAGCTGTTTCGACGGTACAAAAGGAAGGTTCATTTTCTGGCCATGCTGCATTTGGCTCGGTCCCGGTGCGTTCGTACTGGCCGTCTGCGTCATGTTGTCGGGGAGGGGCAGCTCGTGCATTTGCAGCAGTGCACGCTGCCGGTCCTGAAGTGGCAGGGCAGGACATTTCTTGACCAGGTGGTTGGTGAGGCTGTCTATGCGACCTTTAGGAAACTGCGTCGTGTGAGCTATTACTCATTTCGCCTCGAGACGTTTTGTCGCGGGGTTATGTACCTTTTCGCCGCACGATTTGCACGTGTGTTGGTAGCGGTTGCTTGCATCTTCGAGCTTAGGGCCGCGCTCGAAGTATTCGAGGATCAGCTGGTTGGGTCGGCGGCCCATGATCAGCCCAGAAGTTGAACCCTTCAACCCTACAGTGCGTTGTGGAATGTTTTTGCCGGACTTATTGCGCGGTGAGAACCTGGGCAGCTTTGGCGGTGTAAATTCGGAGGATGTGATTGGCCGACCGGTGCTCAAGAACACCTACCTTCAGTCTCGCAATGATAATACGGTGAGGTGTCCGGAAGACAATCGCACTGTTTGTTTGACAAGAATACGTGTCTTGTTACTCACCTCCCATTTTTCACGGTACATTAGTGCGTGGTGGTCAACCAGATAGCAACTTGGCACCAGAAGTTCATTCACCGCCACAAGTCGATGTGCATATTTTGCGCCGATAGCCTCATGTTTCCGTGGTACGCCCAATTCTTTTATCTTGAAAGAAAAGAAGAAAATATACAAGTAGGCCGCGGTATATGGGGGCATAGTCTAAGGCCGGTTGACTATAGGTCAGCCAAGTTGTTGTTAGCGGTGTAGTCGTGCACAAATGCAACGCTTTAGTAGAGACATTATCGTGAGTTAGCAAGATAAAAAGGTATTCATGCATGGAATGTATTCTCACCTACTATGGCCCTGCGATGACACTTGAAAGTATCTCGGAAAGTGATGACGTCAACGTGACCTTCTCGACGACACATTCGTCATTATTGATTAGGGAGACTACTCAAGCTTTGAATTATAACACACTCTCCACAGACCCAAAAACCTCTTTTAGATTTCCCATAACTAAAAATTATCACTCTTATCATCTCAGAACCCCTGGGCAGTTTAAGACATGTCGTCCACAAAGTCACCAGCAGCAAACCCGAGCATAACGCCTGACCCTGCTCAAGACGGTTCAATCATCCGCAAAGCCTTCGTTCTCGAAGCCGTTGCAAATCTCTTCACCATTCCTCTAATCACAAACACACGATTCACTCTCTCACTACTTCTCAACAATCCGTCTCGGGACATCAACCCGGCATCAATCTTATTCGCGCGCCTTTTCGGTGGCTTGATTGTTGGTGGACTTACATCGGCACTGTTCGCTGGCGCAACCAATACTAGAAATGGCATCGAGTCTAGGAGGCCGACTTACTTACTGTTGGGCCTAGGCGAAGCATGCCTGATTCCTATTCTGATGCTGGAGTTTATACAAGGGGCGCCTCGTGCAGCACTAAGTAGGACGGTTGCAGGGGTAAGTATTGGGTTTTTGCTGCCTCCATTGCTGTGGAGGATGTATGTACTGTTCGTCAGGCCGGATTTGCTGGGTAGATATACAGAAGAGAGAAAGGACAATCGTGGTGCAGGCAGGAGAGACGGATGTGAGTACACGTTACCGTGTAACATTGAGAAGTATGCTAACAAGACCTAGATGGTTCTATCAATACGCGTGACGATTGAGGTGGACATTTAAGAATATGAGGTTTCGCTCATGATGACGCTTGCTCTCGTTGCGGAGTTTTGGTGTAGTTTGCGTATTGATTCGAGATTCCGAAATCTAGTACTTTTCCGTGTTGTATTTGTAAAGGCCAAATACCCATAAACGCCGCGCTGAAATCATTTGTGATGCTCGAGGTGCCAGTGGCACAATTCTTTAGTCTGCAAAGCCTCCCCACTCTGCTTCCTCATCATCTTCTTCAGGCTCGCTTGCGACTTCAGTTTCCTGCCCTCTCCAAGCTCTTAATCTTTCATCAGCGAGACACTCTTTGGCCGCATTTCTCAATGGTTTCAAGTTTCCGTTCTTTGCCATACTCTCGATTGGCTGCACCAGCTTCTCCAACGTCTCCTTATTCTCTTCCTTCTCCCATTCATCGCCCTCGACGTTCTCTAGCTCATCAACCCAAACATCCATGACATGATATCTGAGCCCGTTAGGAATCCTCATGTTCTTGCATTCCAAAGGCGTCTCTTCCATGATGCTGTTCCACTGTTCCACTAGGTTCTTCTTCCACTTGTTCCGACTAAGGAATGCGAATGAGGCGTTAACGTATTGACGGATCAGGTAGAGGTATTTGTCGAGTCTTAGTGCTTCAATATGGCCCCATTCGCGAGACATGGTAAGGAAGAAGGCGCGGATGAATGGCAGAACTACTGGCGTACGAAGGGTAGATACAAGGGATGCGAGGTCGCGGGAAAGGCGCTGCTGAAGGGCGGGTTTGTCTTGCATCCACAAGCCTGTAAAAACTGTCTTAGCCCTATCGTCTGGCTGATCTCGGAGGCATATGAAGTCTCTCGTCAAGGTAGCCACTTGTATGAGACGTACAGTAGAACAGTCCTTTCCATAGTTTTAGGAGATCGAGTTCCAAGATTTCAGATTGTGCGCCAAGGTATTGTTTCAACGCATCAAGCGCCTGGTCGCGAACTTTCTTGTCTGTCGCAAACGTCAGTCTATTGCTAACAGTGTTTCAATATGCCCTATATGCATACCACTCGAGGCAAGGTTCCTGATAAAAGGATTGTTCTGCGCGTCCGAAGTCATCTTGTGCGAAATGAGGGTATTGCTGATGTACTTAGGTGGAGTTCAAGATGCGCGCGGAACTTTTTTTGGGGTTGCGGAGCTAACATGGTTATCGATAAGACCGCCACTCGTGGATTAGCGCCCCCAACTACCGGCAGTTGAGCTCTGGCTTGAGCTTATGTAGTTGTCGAAAAGAAAATAGAAAAGAAGCGCATTGATGTATTCTAGATATAGTGAATGGTTTTTATTATGCAGCGATACAGATTAACAGCCTTCCATTTCGAAAGACTGGATTGATTAGAGCAAAGCGGATGATTTCGGAAACCTAAATTTCAAATCGATCGCTGCATAAGCATCCAGAGATGATAAAATGTATAGACGCGAATTGTATTTGCCTAGTGGCCTATATAGTGCATACGTACTTGCTCAAATATTCGCCGTAGATAGGACCGAAGTCTAGAGTAATGTTACTTTACTGTAAGATGCAGCCAAACAAGACTAGAGTGACACTGGGGTGAAAACGGTAGCGAACGACGCGTTCCTTAAAGGAGATGTATTGGCTAAGGCAGTGAAGGGATCGCGCAAGCATGACTTAGTGTAGATACGTCTATTATAATACTGTAGAGCTGCAAAAATATATACAAACGGTTCTATCTCACTATAATAAGAATAGACTACGAGCTACATAACGACAGTATATCTAGAAAACTCAAGTGTTACAATGCTAGGTTTTCTAGGCAAAATCACTTACTTATTACCTAACAACTAAAATACATTTTGATGCCGACATAAATCCGCTGGGTGACTAAGCCACTAGCGCGGAAATAAATCCAAATGAACACGCTAAAACGCTAGTAAACATACGACACTTATGCCTAAGACACTTTAATTAACTCTAACCTCCACCTACTACATTTTCCACCTTCTAAAAAGAATTAATTTTAATATTTGCTATACCTAGAGTTAAAACAGGAGTGATTAGCGAGCCTTTCTATTACCTGTAAGTTTGCTTATTCTCTACCTATTACCTTACAGTAACTCTAGACGTCATCATGCGATGTAATCATACCAATCTACGAGATGTATCCTAGAAATAAACCCTGCACATCTAGAAATGTCTAACGCGATGTAGTCCCGCTACTGGAATGCCGTCCATGGTCGTTATACCATCAAATGGCTATACGAGGCGGCGCGTCCTCGTCGATCGCGTGAGCACACACCAACACCCGTTTCCTAACGTATACTGACAAGTTTACTATTATTAGGTCCACTCGATAGTCTCAAATCGCGTGCAAAAGGATGTAAGTGATGTCTGGTCCTAGATGGTCTATGCGCAACTGGCTAACAGGGTACATCTAGGACGAACAATACCTAGTCCGGTGGAACACCGATGATGCGTCAGATCAAGCGCCGCTAAGCTGGCATTCGATCAAAGAACTCTTGCGATGTCTCGAACACGTCCAAGATTACCTTGAAGTGAGAGAGAAGTATGCAGTGCAGCTTATTCACGTAGAAGACGTCTCTAATATCACCTAAGGTCTACGGAATTACTGGAACACGTGCAACCTACAACCAAAAAGCGCAAAACACCAGACAGTGGCCTGGAGGATGAACGCCGCTCTTCACCGTTTGATCCTCGCCTTTACCAAGCACAACATGGAGGTCAGACGCCGTCGTTCTCTCAGTCTCCGACATCAACACCTCCGCCTCCATCTCCACCTGATGTATACAACGGCGTCCTAGATGCCGACGAGCATGGATACATCTTCTGCCGTACATCTACAAGACCAGATATACCAAAGCTTGACATCAGCAACTTCCCAGCACCATATATGAAGCATACAGCGCAAAGATCCAGCGTCGACAAAGCCCTCGCCTACATCCGCAACGAGTACATCCGGCGACTCTCCAAAGTCACGGGCAAAGACAGCAAACCAATCAAACTAGTCAACCTCGTAGACTCCTCCACCCCGTCCCTCCGCTTCCGCTACATCTCAGACTGCATCCTCCGACCCGGCGTCATCCGCGCACCCCCAGAGACGCAAACAGGCTGCCAGTCATGCTCGCCGCACATGGGCCGTGACATCGGCTGCGAATACACGAGAAAATGCGACTGTCTCGAGTACGCCGCCGTCGACGAATCACGCCTCACAGACTCTCAAGTCCTCGAGTACCAACACGCCCTCGCCAACGGCCTGTCAACCATGGGTTTCCCAAAAAGATTTCCGTACTACGCTGCGGGCACAAAGCGCGAGCGCACAGGCTGTCTCGTTTCATTCTATCTGCAGTCGCGCAACCCAGTCTACGAATGCAACGACAAGTGCAACTGTGGGCGCCACTGCCGCAACAAAAACGTGCAGTTTGGTCGGCAAGTCGAAGTCGAAATCTTTCGCTCCGCTGACGGTCGCGGCTGGGGTCTCCGCTGCACCGAGGACCTGCACGAGGGCCAATTCATCGATACCTACCGTGGCGAAATCATCACCGACGCCGAAGCTGAACGCCGTGAAAACGCTTCCTCCTCCAAATCAAAAGCTTCGTACCTTTACTCCCTGGATAAATTCAGGGAATCAGAGGGCCTCGACGATAAGGATCTGTATGTTGTCGACGGCGAGTTCATGGGTGGGCCAACCAAATTCATAAATCACTCTTGCGACCCGAATTGTCGCCAGTATACGGTGAGTTATAATCGCCATGATGTTAGGATTTACGATATTGCGTTCTTTGCGTGTAGGTTTATCCCGGCGGGCGAGGAACTTACTTTTGATTATCTGGATAAGGATGATGGGGGTGAGGAGGAGGAGATGGATGAGCCGGGCGAGGGCGCTATTCCGTGTCTTTGTGGGACTAAGAAGTGTAGAAAGTGGTTGTGGACGTGAGACGTATGATGGGTCAGGGCTTCATTTGTGGAGGACATGTGGTTTGGGTCAGATGTGGGTGTTGGAGGAAAAGAAGTGAAGGGATGTGACACGGTGAGCTTCGGGATATGTTTACAAGGAAGCTAAACGGGATAATTTTACTTCATACATGTACTATTAAAGGGTCTTTCTTTTTGCACAAAAACGTTGTAATACCAAAGCGATAGATTTTTAGCATTGTCCATGTCCACCAACACATCAAGTCTGGCTCATAAACACTCTCGATGCCCTTGAAAGAGCCTCATGTACTCACGTCACTTTCACAAATGCAAACACTCAGTCTGTAATAAAAGAAAGATTGGGTGTTCAATTTCTGACGCCTACTCTCTAAGTAAATCTAGTAAGACCGTGATCGGCCCATTCTGCACCGTTACCATGATCCCTAGACACCTCCTACAGAAACATAGGAAACTAAGAAAGTAGAAGAATGGGGCGTGCTCACAATTTGATATTACAAAAACAAAGGGTTGGAGGAAAATAAAACAAAATCTGGGGCAGTCTTGAGGGGTATATATCTCTCTCTAATATCCAGCCTTTCGACAAAAAAAGAAGATGGTGTTCATAGGAAAATCGCATAGAAGCAAGCATTAGGTACATGAGATAGGTGGCAGCAGTCTTTCTTCCTGCGCACATGCACAAGGAAAATTGAGAACCAAAAGTATACGTAAAGAAAGGATTGGACGCCCTAACGAGCTAAAACTGGAAAAAGGAAATTGAACAAAGGAAATAATAAGGTTTGTTGAGTCTGCATCAGGTTGGAAACTGGCTTATTGCCTGAGTTCCCTTCCAAAGTTGAGCGCCAAAGGCGTCAGCTCGCCTTCTTCAATGGCGCTCTCGTCTTCGTAGAAGCCACTCTCGCTCCATGGCTCCATATCTGCATCTTGATCATAGGCCTGCTTCCTCATTAGAGGTGGTGTGCGGGGCTGCTTTCCAAGAACAGGGAAGCCAACTTCAGTTGACGCGTGCGAGCTCATTGAGTTGGAGCGGGCGTCTTGTGGGCGCTGAGAAGCTGAAGGAACTTCGAGGGTACGGCGCATGTTGGAGGTTGGTGGTGTCATGAGGCCGGAAAGAAAGGATTGCGCGGAGTGAGGTTGGGCCCGCGATGGTGTCTGCGTGCGTTGTGCGGTGGTAGGCTTTCCCGCAAGAGCGGATGTAGCCTCTCCACGGCCTTTGCGCCAATTGCCAATGGCAGCAGCAAGCTGGACTGCCTTGGGTGAAGCAAAGTTGGACAACGTGCTGAGTGTGGGGAAGGACTGTTGTCCGCCAGAAATGAGGCGCTCCTTCTCCGACTGCTCCATCTGCAAGTTTGTACGGATACGGATTGCGGCATCACGAACAGTTTCGCGATCAAAGGTTGGCTGGGCCAAAGCGGTGATGAGGTCGTTCAGGTCGTCCACACGTACACCAAGGAGCTCACGTAGCCAGTTGATCTCGGTTTCGCGTTCCTTGAGCTTGGCTGGTGCCTCGGTATCAACCTCCTCAAGTTGCTGCTCAAGCGACTCAATACGTCCTTCGCGCTCTTGCAGTTGCTCCTGTAGAACAGCAATGGATTCGCGCAGTGCTTGGGTAGAAATCTTGTCAGAGCTGCTTAGACCAAAGGAAGAAGAGGTTGGTGACTTGGAAGCAGCGGCAACCGCAGCATTAGCAGCTTCCTTTGCAACCTGTAGCTTCTCTTCCAACAGGGAGATCTTGTCCTTAAAGTGGTCGAGCTTGGAGTCGGCCAAAGCAAGCTTGTCATTGTGGAAGGCCTCAGCGCGATCCTTGTCTTCGCGTGCAAACTCGAGAGCACGAGCATGCTCGTGCTTGACGTGTGCAAGTTGACGCTCAAACGCACGCTGCTGTTCTTGCATGCTGAGTCTCTGTTTCTCGATCGCTTCTTGAACCGCTTGCTTCTTGGCATCAGAGGCTGCCTCCAAGTCAAGCTCGTGCTTCTCCTTGGCGGTATCTGCGTCCATGCGAACTTGGTCCAGCTCGGCACGGACACGGTTGATTTCGCTCTCGAGCTCGTGGCGAACAATGTTGACCTGGTTGTTGGCGGCATCGATATCGGCCTCCATGAGCACACGGGTGCGGCGGATCTCAACATGAGCAGCATCCCTCGCTTCGCGCATATCGCGCTCGTAGCGCTCAGCGTTCCTCTGGTGCTCCACGGTTTCCTTCCTCAGCTGTTGGATAGTCTCTTCTAGCCTGGAGTTGTGCTTCTGGGTCTGTTCAAGGTGGAACCTGAGCTTCATACCCTCACGCTCCTGAGTCTCAAGGCGCTCAAGCTCTCTCTCAAGACGCTCGCGTGTGCGACCTTCAGCCTCAATACGTGCGCTGAGAACCTCATACTTGCTTGCAGATGCCTCCTCGTTCTTCTGCCATTGAGCGCGTTCGGCTGCAACCTGCTGAGAGGCAGCAACCATATCTTGCTGAAGTTTCTCAAACTTGACGCGCATAGACTCACGGACACGAGTGGCTTCTTCAGCCTGGAAACGTGACTCGCCGATAGCCTTGCGGAGCTGTTCTGCTTCTTCGTGAGCTACCTGAAGGTCGCCACGCCACTTATTGGCAGAGAGGCGGTGCTCTTCCAGCGTAAATGTCAGAGCCTCATTCTCAGCAGTAACAGAATCCAGCTTCTTCTTGAGGTCCTCTTCAGAGCTTTCCAAAGCAATGTTTGTAAGCTTGAGTCGCTCGTTCTCGCCGTCAAGAGTAGAAATCCTGTCTCGGAATACATCTTCGTTACTCTTGAGAGTATCGAAGCTACGGCGAAGATCATCACGCTCTTCGGTCAGAGAACGGATCTTCCTCTCATCGTCACGGGCAGCTTGCTGAAGCAGGGTAAGCTCTTCTTCAGTAACCTTAAGAAGGCGAGCAGAGTCAACTTCACGGGCCTCAAGAGCCTTGCGCGCTTCGGCTTCGGTATCAAAGCGAAGGGTAGCCTCCTTGAGCATGTCCTCAAGGTCGGCGATGCGTGTATCCCTCTCTTGGATAGCCTTGGACTCCTCGAGCTTCGCAGTCTCCATGTTCTGACGCTTGAAAGCATCATCGATGAGCTCACGAACGTCTTCAGCTTGCAGGTGATGACTAGTGGTCTGCGCAATAGAAGCCTTGAGGCTACCAATAATCTGGTACATCTCAGACATCTCAAGCGATGGCTGTGGAATATTGACAGGTGCCTCTAGAGTGGCGGCAGGCTTCTGAGATGCCAATGCTTCGGTTACGATGGAGCGGATCATGTCCGGCTGGACAGAATCCGTAGTGTGTGCAGGTGGAGGCGGGGTGTGAGAAGATGCAATCGCTTCTGCGACAATGGCCTTGAGGTCATCTGGCCAGATCTGCTCAGGAACAGGTGCGGGCAATGGCTGAGGAGCGTGAGTCTCGAACGCCTCCATGACAATGGACCTGATGTCGTCAGGTCTCACAGGCTGAGGGGCATGAGACGCGAGCATGTCGGCAAGAATGGATCGGACGTCTTCGGCCTTGAGGGCCTCGGTGGGATATTCTGGCGCTGTCTTGCTCGAAGCAATGGCATCCTGAACAATGGCGCGAATCTGGTCAACAGAAATAGGTTCAACGTGTTGCACAGGTGGCTGATGTTGTGTGATGACATCGGTGACAATGTCCCTGATTTTCTCAGGGATGATTGGCTCCGCTACTGGTACCGGCACCGGTAACGACGTGATCTGTGATTGGTGCACCTCAAGTGCGTCCATGACGATCGACCTGATCTTTTCGAACTTCTTGTCTTTGCCTCGAGATCTGTTGCGGTAGTCTGCCTCAGTACCAATCTCATCGTCTTCATCATCTGCATCGCTGTCCAGACGTTCGCTGGTAGACATGCTACGACGGCCACGTCGCGTGCGTTGTGTCATGGCAACAAGTGCTTGCTGGATACCTTGCAGGTTTTGCTGCAGCGGGCTAAGACGGTCTTGCAGGAGACGGCCCATAAGCTCATCAACATGTTTGTCGAAGAAGCCACTGCGCGTCTGGAGCTTGTTCTCGTCCTCGCTCAAAAGGCCATCATCATCCCAGTCGCTGAGATGTCCGTCATCCACGTTGTTCACCTCACGTACAGGAGACTGGTATGAAAGCGCAGCCCTCTCGCTGTCAAACGGATCCAGCGTTGATGCTGCGGGACCGGGAATAAATCCCCTGCGGGGGCTGGGGCTAGGTGCGTCACTGCGCAACTTGAAGTTTGGCTGCAGGTCGTGGCGCTCAAACACGTGTGGCGTCCTCTGGGGAGAGGAGTGGTCCCAAGATGTCTCGTCACGCTCGACGCCAAAGTCTGAGCCCTCTCCGTCCATATGCTTCATGACTGCATCAATGTCGTTGAACGAAGCCTCACCGATATTGTCGAAATCAACGCTCTCGTTCTCAGGGTAACGCGACTGTCTGCCAGACTCCATGGCCGTCTTGAACGAACCGTCATCACTGGGGCGGTAAGTAGTTGCTGGGCTCCTGCTAGCAATCCTTGCAGGCGACAACCGAGCCTTCGCAGGTTCCTTGACTTGAGAAGGCTTTGTAACGTGGAAACCGAAATCGTAGCCAGCGTTGCTGAGCTGAGGTTTGAACTCGAACGGCTTGGCATTGGCAGAGAGGGTGCTCTTGTGGCTATGTTTCTTGGTCGTTGGCTCGGGTTCCTCAGTGGTGGGAGTGGGTATGTCACTGGCATGAGCCGTCTCATCGTCTGCACCTTGCTCACTTCCGGGAGCAGGGGAAATAGGCTCAAACGGCCTTGTATCCTGCTGCTGTGGCAGCGGTGACGGGGTCTTTGACTTGATCTTGGCCTGCTTGCTGTCGGGCGAGCGGTTCTCCTTGTCTTCAACAGGGCTCGCTCGTGGAACCTTGGCATCCACGGTAATAGCGTTGGGCTCCTTGACTTCCGCCAAAGGCTGCGAGGCGAGGATTGGCTGAAGTGCAAACTTGGGCACATCGTCACCGTCAGCGCGATCACGACGCACACGTTTCTCGCGACCATCAGCTTGCATGGGTCGGCCAGCCTCATCCACACGGTCTTCCTGCTCTTTGGGCGTTGACTGACGCGTGTTATCCGGCCTGACAATGGGAACTGCTTTGGAGCGGGTGGCTGGCTTGATGATGTCATTAGCAGAAATGTTGACATCTCCAAAGATCTTGGAGGAGAAGCTCGTTGGTGCAGGAGCGGGCTTGTTGGCATCAAATTTAGACCCTCCAGGACTGAACACAGGTGCATCGGGCTTGAATGATGGCGGACTTGAGAAGTCGAAGCCATTTGAAGTAGGCTTGAACGCAGGGGCGTCGGGCTTGAACGTGGGTGCATCTGGCTTGAATGTGGGCGCAGAGGCGTTGAAGTTCGCCATTCCATCCATGCTCGTCTTGTTTGTCTGATGGACACTTTGCTCCGCAGGTGGCTTGACGGCGGGTGCGAAGCTGAAGCCGGACGAGAAGGATCCAGGGCTGAAGGACGCTGCCGGGTTGAACTTGAACTCCTTGGCTTCGACATTGAGCTTCGAAATGGAAGAGCGCGAGGTATGCTTGCTGTGCGTGGAGGATGCAGGCTTGAAGGCAAACTTGTTGTCTTTCCAAGAATTGCTGACTTGCGAGGGCGCCTTGGAATGCTGCACAGAGCCCTGGTCGGCGCTGCGGACCTCGCCATCTTCCAAACTGGGATTGGTGTTTTCTGAAAGGTTCGTACGCGCACCATCGCTGTCGGAAGCAGGTGTCTGTTGTGCTGGGAACGAAAAGGAGACGGGGTTCTGCGCTTGCGCGAGCGAGTGAGTCCTGCTGTGTGGCTGAGGCTGATGCAAAATTGGTCGAGAATCCTCCCATTTGGGTTTGGCCACTGCATTGGAATGCTTCAATGGGGCATTAGTCTCTGGCTCGGTGCTGAAATCTCCACCTTCAGCAAACTGCTTGTCAATAGCCTCTTCCAAGTGATACTCTTCGTTAGCTGCCTCGCGTTCAAGGTTCTCGCTAATGTTGTGACGATGACCGCGGGGAGTGGGCACAGCAATCTCAGTCTTTGTTTGAGTGGCGTGCTTCATGGGTGGTACTTCATCTTCCTCATCCTCATCCTCAGGTACTTCAGCAAGCGTGGATGCAGGTCGCATACCAAGGACCTGTTGCTGCTGCTGCTGCTGTTGGAGAAGCTGAGCCTGGAGCTGCTGCTGTTGCATTTGCATCTGTAGCTGGAAATCGTGTCTCTGCGTCGGCGTGATAGGCATCTGCTGGCCCATACCAAATGGCGAGCGGGGCGAGATGAGCTCAGCCAGGTCTGGACGGTTCATTACAAGAGCAGGAGATGCGGTGCGACCATCCTGAGCATTGAAGTAACCACTTGGTGACCATGTGCCCGAAGGTGAATAACCATGCTGAGCGAAGTTGGCAGGCGATCCAAAAGTGGAATGACGATGCATATGCATGTTTGCACGAGGGTTTCCAAAAGCCGCAGGAGAGGCAATTGACTGCCGTGACATGTGTCCAGGAGATGGGACGTATGGGAAGCCAATTGATGCGATGCTGCCAGGTCTGGCCATACGGGCACTACCAGCAGATGAAGTAGGCAGAGGTGGAGAGAAGACCGTTCCTGGATGCTGTTGCGAGGATGTCTGGCGTGAAAGAGGAAGGGCAATGTCTTCCTCGCCACCGATGCTGACACCGAGAGCTGCAAGCTTTGCCTCGAGCAAAGAGTTCTGGTAGTCTTTCCATTCAGATTCCTTGGACACGCGTACTCGGAATTTCGAACCCGAATTGGCACGCTCTACTTGTACATCAGCTTCTGTTGGCCAGATGGCTCTGTTGTGTGTCTCCTGGCCGCCGGTACTGAAGCCCCGAATGTCGTAACCTTGCTGCTCGAGTTGCCTGAGCTTCGCGTTGACGGTTTCTTCACTCATTGGCTTAGGGGGATAACCCGGGTTGCCTCTAGGAATATCGCGCGGTATAGAGATGATGCAACCCTTGCCTTTCACAATCACCTTCTTACGCATTCTCGGGTGCGCAGGCGCAGCACTTGGGGGTGCAAGGAGCGAGCTTGCCTGGGCAGTAGAGGCTGGCCTGCTTGTCGATAGTTCCTGGTTTGGTAGCTTTGCGGCATCACCATTGCCCATCTTGGTGGGAGTCTCGTTGGCTGGCTTGGTTGCTTTTGAAGGTGTTGGAACGGGCGTCTTCTCGCCCGATACGCTGTGTCCATTTGTCTGGGAGCCTGAAGTTTGCCTTTGGGAACCCGCGGGCTCAGCTTCTGCGTACTTGGAGGCCATCATTTTGCCCAATGCTTCCTTCTGGTCCTTGCTAAAGTGGCGCCAGAAGTCCTGCTGGTTCAGTGTCTTGTTTTTGTTCCTGGCTTGGTGGCCTCGCTTCGGTAGGGGAACGAATGGTATGTCCTGATCGTCCGCTGATCCTTCAGTGTCACTGTCGTTGCTCCGCCAGTCGTTTGTCTCGCGGTTCCAACGCTCCTCGAGAAACCGCTGAACCCACTCTTCCGATGTAGGGTTCGAATCGGATGGGCGAGGAGTGCTGCCGGATGCCCGTTCTTCTCTTGTCAGAGGGTCGAGGTTGGGCAGGCGAGATCGAATTAGATGCTCGAGCGTAAAGCGGTTAGGCGATACGTTGCGGTCCAAGGAGGGGATGAGATGCTCGAGGTTGAACCTGTTGGGCGAGTCGGCCTCGAGATCTAGTCGCGACGGGAGCAGATGGTCAAGGCCAAACTGGAGACCGGACGGTTCCTCGTCAAAGTCGTCGCTGCCAAAATTAGCCGAGACTTGACGGCCAAGGTCGAAAGTTGGCGGAGGGTGTCGGTACGGACTGCCCCAGCTTGCCGTGTAGTACGAAGTGTCGGTTCGCTCGCGCCTCGCAGCGGTGGATGGTGTGCGGGGGTGATTGCCTAGTACGGAGAAGGAGGGAAGAAGAGGCAGCTCTGGGCTCGAATGCCCTAGCGTGCGAGACGGGGATGGGGCAGTCCAAGTCGGCGAGACTGGTTCACGGTCGTCGGAGGGAGACGAGGGCTCGCCTAGGTAGTGGGGGGCTGTTGGGGGAGATGAGGGCGGCGGCAGCGAAGGGGAGGGCGTCCGTCTAGCTTGCATTCAAGGGATCTCTCTCTTCCAAGCGTTCCCGCAACTCGAGCGAGCTGCCACTGCTGCTGTTTTTGTGATTTTATTTTTCTTCGTCTTTTCTCCCCGAATCCAAACGCGTTGAAACAATGGGCCCAAGTGCGCTACGGGGCGGTGGTCGATTGCCCGGGGCAGAGGAACGCGTACCGGGGAGAGTCTCGAGCGCAGGAGGGGCGAAGGTGGAGTGGAGGCAGTATGATTAGGTATATGGAACAAGGAAAGGGAGACTGAGCAAGGAAGCTGCTAAAAGAATGACATGAGGTGGGCAAGAGCGGGTCTGGAGACTACAGGAGAAGAGAACATCCCGTGGCAGCAGGCAGACGACGGATGAAGAAGAAGAAGCAGAAGAAGAAGAATGGCAGTCGAAGGCGTGCCAAAGTTCGTCGTCGACGAAAGTGCGGACACGGACAGAGGAGAACAGGAGAGCGACGAGACTAAGGCCAGGCTCGACTTAGCGGGCGGAGTGCCAGTTGGCACAGTCGCATCAGGGGCCAATCGGCGGCCCGCCCAACCCAACCCACATGTGATGAACGCGCCCCGACGCCTGCAAAGCCTCGTCCGTGCCATTCTATACTTATATTGCGCCCGGTAATTAGCACAAATGCGCGTTGCTGAAGGAGTCGGCAACACCGGCTGGCTTCATGCGAGTGTGCACTTACACTACGATATACTACAACACAGTAAGTATATACAAACACACCAAGTTGGATACAACCCGTCCCGTCCCGGCCCACAACCCAGCAACAAAAAAGTCACGACGCGTCTTGAGGTCATCCCGTGGCCACTAGGACAATTAGACGTGTCCCAGCAGCAGGGGACTTTGGCACTTTGCACTATTGCGGCCAATCACGTGCCCGAACGGCATGACTACTGTGCGTCAGCGGGCATTTGGGAGCGAACGACTGGGCAGTGGGCAATGGGCTCCAACCTCATCCTCGACCCCTCCAGTCGCTTCACTTTTTTTTCGCCATCGGCACCACCAGATACACCGTCTGACCATTGATTCTAGCGGCTATCTCGAGCTCCTCTTCAGCCACGACCAGCATCCTTTAATCGGCGCTCAAATAGGGGACCCGGCTAGTGGTAAGACGGCGACGGGAGCTAGTGCTGCCATGCAAGGATACCTGGGCCGCTGACGGTGCTACCAAAGACTCGCGTTCTTAGTACTGCGTATTTGCTTTTTATTCCAACCAAAGTATCGTTTGGGCGCTGAGTGCCTTGGCGCCTAAACCTCCACCTCCTCTGGAACATGCTCAGACACAAAAGCACTTTTTTTGCAGATTCCCATGTATCAAATGCGGGCTCCTCTTCCCTCCCAGCTCACCATCTGTACAATGTGGACATCCAAGCCCGCATCAAAGGAAAAAAACAAGCCTTGCCCACGCTGGGGCAACTATGGAAATACATACATACATGACTCCTTTTTCCTACACCCCAGATGAATCAGGCCTTTCTAATCATGAATACCCTCGTTACAAAAGGACTTTTTGCTTTAGCAGTCCCGACACCAGCTGCAGAGCCATCATCATTCTTCTCAGCCCCAGCCGTCAGCTCTTCATCCTCGCCAATCTTCCACGCTCGCACCAGCCACAAGAAGACGGCCGCACCAATATACATCCAACCGGTAAACATGATAGCACCAGTATAAGAGCCGCCATTGAACTTGACAATTTCCAGACCAATGGCTTCGGAGACTAGCCATCATCGTTAGTCAAGTTTCCCTTGGAAAGAAAGAGGGCAGACTTACAAGTAGTAGGCAAGACTAGTACCAACCAAGTGATACTCAACGCACTCGGCAGATCCTTCAATCCCATAACTTCCGTCGTGATAGGACCCGCCACAGCCCAATACGTCCCCGCTACCATTCCACCCACCAGGCTGTAAAAGACGAGCACCCCAAAGCTCTTTGCAAACATCCATATGACCAGACAAAACAGGCCACTCAAGAAGGTCATACTACTCGCCATATTCAACCTGCCAATGGAATCCGAAAAGTACCCAATCGGCGGTCTCCCAATCGCCTGCCCCAAGTTGAATATAGCCCCAATAACACTCCCTTGCTGCGCACTCAACCCCACCGTCCTCGCATAATTCGGCAGCGAAAACAACAAAACCACATACCCCAGCATGGACAAGAATCCAAACGCCAACAACCCCACAAATTGCATCTTGCGAAAAAGCCGATGATCAAATCCAATCTGCCGACTCCCAATCGCCTTATTCCGATCACGAATCAATAACGCACAAGCCGTATTCACCACAAACGCCACAAGCCCCAGCGTGCGAAACGCCCACGGCAAGCCTACACTCCGAATCATGGCCTGAGCAGCAAGCGAATACACCAACCCACCCAACCCCGATCCCGCCGCCGAACACCCATTCGCCAGCGACCTACGCGTACTAAACCACTGCGGCGTAATCCCCACGGACCCCACGAACAAAAACCCAATCCCCCACCCAAAACAAATGCCCTGAGTTAAGAATAAATGCCAAATACGCGACGCGAAGCTCGCACCGATAAATGAGATTGTTTCGAGCGCTACGCCGATTAGCAGCGTGGTGCGCGTGCCGAAGCAGCGTGTTGTTAGAGTGGCGACGGGGGAAACGATGAGAGCTTGCGAGATGGAGAGGCCGCCCACGAAGGCGTATTGCAAGGCTGTTGCGCCTGGAAAGATGTTGTGAGAGAGGTAGTGTGCGAGGAAGACGCCGTAGGAGGAGTTGAGACCCCAGGTGTGGCCGTTTAGTGTGGCGATGGCGGCCACGCAGATCCAGCCGTAGCCGCCGTTGGGGGGTTCGTCTTCTCCTCTTGTCTCCAATGCTGTGGTTGTGACGCCTTCTTCTTCTGGCTTTTCCTGTACTACCCCGTTTTGCAGAGCCGTGGTAATATCGCCGTTGTTGATGTGAATTTCGACTCCCGATCCCCCTGCATCATCGTTACTCCGTCTCTTTTCCGTCATTTCTGCCCCCTTTTCCTTTTCAAATCCCCTTACTATCTTTTTTTTTAAAAAAAAAACTTTCTTTCTCGTCTTCGTTCCCGACTCGCTCTCCTCCTTGAAGCGTTTTATTTTTCCCTTACCGCCTCGGCACCCGGGAATAATCGACCCTGCAACCAAGATTCGCCGCCGTTTCGGCCCTCTTCCGAAAAAAAAAAGAATCCACTCCTACTCGTCGATGATTCGTATTGCACTGGTCAATTGCTCCAGAAAGAAAAAAAAACCCTCAGTGTTGCCAATTGCTAGAAGAAGAGAAAGAAGAAGGAAGTAGCTTTCATGATGACGCTACGAGAACAGAAAGAACCATCGAGTCATAGCAGCTTCCTTCAAATCCGTTTGCATAAACCTACCTGTATACAGTAAAAAAGTGGAGTAGCACCGGCCGTTTCGGTTACGTTATTAACCGGGAATAAAAAAGAACCCCTCCCATATCCGGGACTGGGCATCCGGCCGTTTGCACATGCATGTCACTCTTCCGCCCTATAGCCATGGTATTGGCTAGTGACTTTTGCTGTTGAGCTCGTATACATATTTGTGAATTTGTAACAGTAGGAAAACATGCTTGCAAGCATTCAACTAAAGAAATGTTTATATTGATTGTAGGTATTTGGGTTTATCAGGTACAAAGGAAACCAAGCAGGTGGGTGTCAACGCCCATGTTAGCAGTCTAAGCCAAAAAAAAAGATATATATGTCATCAGTCATTCACCGCTTTCCCTTCGACAAACGGCTATCTAACCTCGCAAAGAGGCGTGTATCGTTCCGGAAACTCCATGCTTGCTTCCAGGTCCATGTCCTCGGCTTCACTCGTATGCAAGCTCTCGTACCCGGAAGGCGATGAGACTGATTGCCATGGGTTGGGCTCAGTGATAAAGTCATCCAGCTGGTCGTAGCTGTGTTCCGATGGGGTTGCAAAGCCTTCTGAATCTGTCACAGAGGGTGAAAGCATATTTGCCCAGTCGATGTTGGGTTGTATATGCTGGCGGTCGGCAACAGGCTTCTGGTAGAAGGAACATTCTGAAGGCGTCTGGCTCGGTGCGAACGGGAAGAGTAACGCTACATCAGATCCTACAAACTTGTTGAAGCTTTCGTCCTCATGCACTACGCCCCGCGAGACCCCAAAGTCATTGCATATCGTTTCTACCGTTTGCGCATCACAGCCGGGGAAATGTACCTTCAATGCCGAATCTTCGTACGTGATAGGTAAATCTCCTAGTGCAGCCAACCGTTGCAAGTCTTTCAAGACTGCAGCCAGTTCCTTGACAGCACGCGAGAAGTCGACAGAGAGAGTGTCCAAGAGGCCCTCAGTGTTAAGGGTCTCCTTCTCCTGAGCGAAGGTGGCAAAGCCCTTGACAGCCTTGAGGGGAGTAAGAGCAGTGACAGTAGGATTGATGTTGAAGCTGATGTAAGAACCGGGGCTAGTCTTGGGAACCTTGTTCAGAGTGCGGTTGACTTGATCTTGAAGTGCCGAGACAGTCTTGAAGCGCTTCTCGCCGTTGTGGGGATTTACGCCATCAAACTGGGCCTTTTGTCCACCGACGAGAAAAGCGCGCACAGCTTGAGAGACATTGTTGATGACCTGAGCAGGCGCAGCAGGACCATGCGAGAAGTATCGAGCGCCTCCGGTCCTGCCGGAGCCCCATCCATAACCACCCGCGGTTCGTCCCAAGGCACCACCCGTGAGGTTAGGGCGAAGGGTAGACGCAAAGGGCGCACGGCCAGCCTGTGCCATGACAATACTCCCAATACGGGACTTCGGGAACGAAGCCTTGTCATACTTCACACCCGAGTTGCGTGCAGCCGCAGTAGTGAATCGTCTAACGGCGGCGCCAATAAGGCTATGGGTAGTGTACCATCGGCCCTTGCTTTGCTTGAGGTAGGCAATTCGGTGTAGAGGATGCTTTGGAGCGTTTCGAGCGAGTATAGGTTGAAGAACTGCATCCGCAGGTCGTGCGGATTCAGGTAACTGTTTCTGTACGAGTTTCGCTGCATGTTTCCAGGCGGCCCTTGTATCGGTCAGTACGTGGTTGCCTTGCAAGATAAGAAGAAACTCACTTGAACGCTTTCGCGTTCTTAACCACCAGTCTATGCAGATGCACCGCGGCCGGTGCCATCGTGTGTTTGTGTTACCAAGAGGGGAGAGGGTGGTGAGTCCCTGAAGTGTGGGGAAGACAACGTTAATGAGGCGCAGGGCAAATGTCGCCACCGCCATCGGGGCTGATCGTCTGAAACGCCGAGCCGTCATGACGATGGTCACATGCCACCTCACTCGCTGACTTGTCTTCTTCCCAAATATTCCATGATAATCAACTATCCATGAGTATAAGTATCTTTGAAGACAGTACGGGCAGCTGTCATAGTCACCCTTTAATAATTTCTCTTCTATACTAGAAAACACTCTGATGCATTTCGGCCTCATGTCCAAGGATCTTGAGTGAGTCATGGGAACATGGTGCAGCTTTACGGTCGGGTACTTCAAGGGCCCGAATAGCCAGCGACAGGCAACAGCCATTGCACCCTTATGCCTTACCTGCGGAACATTAGATGCGCCCGAAGAACCTGGACTTCATATTTTTCTGCACGCGTGAGACAATTGGGCTAAAATCTTCCATTTCGTACTTTTACAAAGCGGAAGCCTACTCATCCAGGCCTCGCAAACCACCTTTTACAAACTTTGCTCTAGGGGGTGATGGGGTTTGGAAACCCACACCCGCGCATAAGGAAATGAAGAGATCGGTGCCGCGATGTCGGAGGGGAGAAACACGCCTTCTGGGGCTTGTATGCGGGGCTGATGAAATGCAAGAAAAACAACCACACAGTACGCCAGCTTTCAATGCTATAGAGCCTCCGTACAAAGCCCGTAGATCCAGGAGAAGAGGGTGAACCAGATCCGTTGAAGGGTATTTCGTATCGTGCTGGGAAATAATCGTGTGAACATTAAGGGAAAGCCAAAAACTGTGTGCAAAAGGGGTCTATCGGAAAACATGTGACGGACCGCCGACCGTATGAAAACGCCAGAACATGAACTTTTTGTTAATGTATAAAGAACTCGAGAATTCGCAAGGACAGTTGGAAGCAACGAGACCACAGCTTGAGGAGCAAGCATTGAGAAACACCATCCCTTGCTCGTCCTGCATGACCCTGGCGAGGTCATCAGATACAATCAGACAGTCATGATGTCAATCGAGCCAATGCCTCAGCATCAAGTAAGTCTCTGATGCGCTTCCAACTCTCCGGATCGATGCCACCATTGCGGACGGCCAATTGTAATTGGTCGAAAGCACGACATCCGTCCTCGGACTTGATCAGCTCGACGTAGTCAGAAGCTACTCGCCACCGGATCGCTTCGTAAGGCGACAGTAAAGACTTGCTGTAAAACTTGATCAAATTCAAGATTCCGACATCCGTACCCCTGCAGGCGGCATCTTCAAGAGCCAGATAGCGGAATTCATCGTACATTGATTGGTTGAAATTCCGAATCAGGAAATGTGACCAGAATTGGTAAAGAACGTTCATATCATAAGGAGTGATGCCAAAAGAGGCTCGTGAGCGCTTGCGGAGAGCCTTTGACCGAAGATGATAATACGACTCATGCGAGGAACCAGAAGGAATGGAATGCACTGGGCGGTCTTGGTCCTTGACCCAGTAAAGCCGAACTGAAGGAGAAGTCGATTGTGGTGAGCACTGTTCGACACTACTACTCTGGACATTAGCTTTAACCTCAGACACAGTTTTGTAGCGAATGGTAACGTCGAGGGCAGGGTGTTGATCTCGATGCTTTGCAGCGTTTGAGCGAATCGAAAAAATAGAGGATGCGGAAACCGCTAGCATTTGTGCAGCGGGAACGGTTGAGGCGCCGACTTACCCGTTGAGAGAGCTAGCGTCGTCGGCTTTGAGTTGACATGCGATCGACTTATTCAGTTCGCCCGGCGCGCCATTTTTACTATCGATGGATCCATTAGAAAATGTTCGTGGAAATAAAACAGGCGATGCTTGTTGCTTCTGAACTTGCTTGCGCACAATCACAGCCAAGCCGCCAAGTTGCCAATCAAAAAATGAATCGGGTTCTGCACTCACAGCCTTTGTTGAGCTCTCGACTGGCTGACCGGTCGAAATGGCGCTACCATTAGCCTCTTCCACAGGCGCACCGTTCACTACAGCTTCTGTAGGCGCTAGTCCAGCATCTTGAGCAACGGGATGGAATCCATTCATCTGAGGGTATGCACCATCGGGCCCATAAGGAGCCATAGGAAATCCGGGTGACATTGTTTGCCACTGGGAAATGCTCGAGGGGTCAAAGCCTGCGGGGTGTGTGAATTGAGGCTGCTTGAGCTCCTTAGGGCCCTCATTCTGCGCCGAGGGATCACGCTCCGCCATGTCAAGCACCCACTGTGCCCAACCGTCTTTACGACGCAGGCGGTCCTGACCATCCTCACCAGTGCGGTATTCAATGGACTTGGACTGCTGGCAGACGGCCTTGATCAGATCAAGATCGGGTGACAAGTGCTTGATACGGTTGAAATTAGCGATGAAATCGAGAGAAACAAATCCTTGGGAGTCCATATGACGACGTAGGTACATGTCTTTGAGCAGGTTATCGACAGAAAAGTAATACTCCCTTGTATCGTGTTAGTAAAAACTGAACGAGATGATCAAGGAAGACTTACACTTGGGTAGTGAGCAATGAGAAGAGATAGGACTGATCAAACCCATATGGGCTGAACGGTGAAGCAGCACTCATCGGCTGGACCATTCCATAGGAATACATGTCATGGGATGTCTGCAAGGGAGCGACTGGATATCCATTCTGGTAAGACGGGAAGCGGTAGGGGTCAGTAGAGAGTGACTGTGACCGGTGGCTGTTGCGGCCGTACTTGCCCTGGGAGGCTGGGAAGAAGGCGTTACTCTCAGGCACAAAAGTCGTAGGTGATCTCGGACCCAAGGGAAAGCTCGTCGAAGAATGTCCGTTGGTGAAATGGTGGTTGTTTGCATAGCCGCCACGAGCTCCACGGCCTCCACGGCCGCGTTCACGCCCGCTGGAGAACGAACTAAAACGCTTCGAATGACCGTGTGGGCCGTCTTGTTGAGCGGGCGCACGACGTTCACCATCTGCAGAAGCATCGGCCTGCGTTCCAGCAGGTGCCCAGACACCATCCTTAGTGGGCGACGACGTACCGTCCTTTCTGCGCTCTCCAGCGCCGTGAAAATCGCCTCGCCTGCCCTTGTGGGGCTTGTTAGGATATTGGCGGGGGTAGGCGCCATTTTGGTGTGGTGCTTGGGACGACGGCGTTGAGCCCTTTGCGTTTGCTTCAGACTCTGTAGCTCCGTTACCATGCGCCTTTACAGCGCCGTCTCCATTGGCTGTTGGAAGCTGGTTCTTCAAAGTCGGGGATGCCGCATTACCAGTGCGCTTAGTCTTGACAGAAGCGTCTTGTGCAGCAGCCTTGGTTTGTTCACCATTTGGTGCCGAGCCGTCCTTCTCAAGCTGCTCGGTACCATTGCTCAAGCCAGCAGGTCTACCACCAGTCTGCGCTGCACCGCGTCCTCCAGGTCTACCACCTCTTCTCGCATTCGCAGCGTTAGGCAAGGGTGTGTTGAACACAACAGAGGGGGTGTATGGGATTTTCACCCATTCCTGCTTGCTAGTAGGAGTACCGTCCTTGCGTTCTTTCTCTGGCTTGTCGCCCTTCTCTTGAGCTTTCTTACGCTCCTCGTCAATAGCGGTATCTGGTGTTGGCCATGACTCCTGGTCACGGTGCGGTGGTGGGGGGAGCACACTCGACGTCGATTTTGTGTCCTTGTCAGAGAACCTGCCCTTGGCACCGTTTCGAGTCTCAGCGTCGCCCTTGAAGTCTTTTCGACCTGTAGCACCTTCGTTCCGGCTCTTATTCCGGCTCTCGCCGTTGACAGCCTTGTCATGAGGTGCTGAGTCTTTCTTCGCAGCAACTCCGTTTGGTCCTTGCGAAGCACCGTTCAGAACAGGTGAAGGAGCAGCCTTCTGCACCCTTGACTTCATCTCATCAGCTCGAATCTTCCATGGGTTGACGGTCGGGACGGGTGCCTCATGAAGGGCCTTGGCAACTGCATTCTTGCCCTTCTTGACCTTCTCCGATGTCTTTTCAACCGGCTCAACCGATTTGTCGACAGAGGTAGAGGCTTGAGACTTGTTATCCCAAGTGGTGGACTCAGAAGCCGTGTTTGGTACTGAAGAAACATCATCATCCTTGGTCACGGTGGACGAGGACGAGGCCGAGGCGCCGAGGTCTGGTGAAGATACATTCGAGGTATCTGCAGGCTGTGAAGATTTTGGGGCGACAGAAGCGGGCTGCTCTGTGCGCGCCTCACGGGCTACTGGGGCTTGCTCGGAATGCGACTCTGCCTCGACGTCTTCAGCCCAGTTGGCTGGCGAGGCGGTAGCGTCTGGACCAGAGACGCTGCTTGCGTCCTTGGCTGGAGTAGCAGAGCCGGATGCTGGCTTGCTCGTGCTCGTTGGCGTGGAAATGCCTTTTGCGGCTTGCGCATATGAAAATGTCGATGCCATTGCGAATTTTCTGTCTGTGTCTCGGCTAAAGTCGGACTGGTAAGGCGAGGAGAGCGCTCAGAATCCCTGGTGGGAGCGCTGCAGCGAGGTGATCAGCAGGTGTGGGTGCTGGTATGTCCGGAGAGGTATGTCTTGACCTCCCCGCACGCAACCTTTTTTCGCTACTACCAAGACTGGGGTTGGCGATGGATCGAAAGGGTGGCGAGTAGTAATCCTGCAACAGGCAGAAGACTATATGGAGCCGTGGGCGTTGGTTCGTAGCCGAGGCGATCACACACGCAGCGGGGAAAGTGAATGCTTCTGGGCACGACTTGAAGACTGGGGCGGTTGCTGTGCGCGCTGTGGTAACTGGCGTTAGCGGACTATTTTTTTTCTTGGTCGAATCGTATAGTGGCAACGACGGATTGCGGGATACGAAATGTTAGTGAGCAGCGCCTTGGGCAGCAGTGCGCTGGGTTGTGTGGCGGACGGGGCGGGCGTAGGTGTGGTGGTAGGTGTGTGTGTGCAAGCGCACAGCAGGTCGGAGGGATGACTGCTTGAACCGCGAGTGGCTGGGGAGGAAGAGAGGGTGCAAGCAGCACACGAATAGCAGCTGGTCAAAGGCCAGAGCACATGACGGAGGAAAACAGCAGAAGAAAAAAACAGTGGGCGGGGTTGGCAAACGGAGTCCGGTCGCGGAAGAGGAAGGTAGCAAGCATGCGGCGGATGTGATAGTGATATGCGCAAAACTAACCTTTGGTCAAGTCTGGGACGACTGTGTTTGTGAGTCCGGGGCGGGGCGCGGACGTGAAGAATGAGGGGCAGATGGAGAGGGAGGCAGTGGTCTCGGGAGCGTGGGCGGTGGAGGTAGAAGTAGAAGTAGAAGTAGAGAATGAGGGTGGGGAGAGGCAGACGAAGTAGGTAGTGGGTAGTAGGCAGGGACGCCAGGCACCACACGAGAGGGCCGGATGGCACAGGCAAGTCTGGCTCGAGGGCGACGACGAGGGAGCGGGCTGAGGCGGCGTCTGAGGGTCGTATGCGACGTTGTCAAGGCAGACCGGGCGCCGAGAGACAAAATTGACTGTCGTGTGTGCGGGCGGAGCAAGCGCAGGTGGGAGGAAGAGGGTCACTTTGAAGCGCGAATTTTTCTCTAGTCAAGTTGGTGCTCTAAAAAAGAAGCCGACAGCCAGCCCACGCTCACCCTCATGCTCACGCCCGCGCTCCCTGCGTGTTCGGCGCATCCATTCACCCTCGCCCTTGGCTTTTTTTTAATCCACCTGCCAGCTAATGGCCTCGCAGTCAGCGACCGTCGGTCCTGCCATCAGCCTGCACCCTCATTACGGTGCAGTGCCGTGCTGCCTGGCAATTTCGGCCACAGCAGTTTGACGCGCTCTCTGCACGCCAATGACGTCTCGCGAGCATCTCGACCCCTCCCTCGCTCGCCCGCCTTGGAGCCAGACCAAGGCGTGAACATGAGAAAAACACCTCCACAGCATGTATGCGCCGCGCATCCTCTCTCCAGCTGCCTGCCTATCCGCGCCGTCTGCCATGTAGTAGTGGTATGACTTGCTTGCTGTGCTCCTGGCGCACGTACATTGCCTGATAAGTAATTCTAGCATTGCCTGCTGCCACATGGGGCCCAATTGGCTTTGCATCTCAGGCTCTTCGTGTGCACCCATAATTAGCGGCAGCACGAGCGCCCGCCATCCGTCCATCCTGGCCCCGTACGGAAAAACGGGATTGCGGCCATTTGTGTCTGTACTAAGCCTTTGCACTATTGCCGACACCACTGCCGTCTTATTGCTTGTCTGGAATACATGGCACATATACACGCTGCCATTTCTTTCATGTCATCAGATGCTGCTTGCTTGCATCCATCCATGGTGCTTTGCGGTCACTAGTCCTCGACTACTATCTATCATACACACCCCACACTGTTAGAGTACCACCCTCTCATCTCCTGACACGCGCCGCACCGGCTCTGATGACCTGATAGTGCTCATCTCACCTCATTGCCTTTTGGACGGCTGCAGCAACCCCCAAATAGCGAGTCCTTGCAACTGCACGTGCCTGTCGGCATAACCGCCTCGCCCAACACTGCGAACACCAGCTGGCTCCACCATACCTAGCCTTTGCAACTAGGCTCTCCAAATCCTCTCCCTTAAACCCGCCGGTCCTAGTCACATCATGTGCTTTATAGTTCCGGCACCAAGGCTCTCCAATGAGGCATCTGCCCTGAATCTATTTTCAGCCCCTTGCCGAATGCGCCTTGGAATATATACTTAGTAGTATATATGTACTACCGTCCACCCGATAGATTGCCTGAAGGCTTCCGGCCGGAACTGCGACCGAAAAGCAACAATGGCCTCAGCCAGCATTCGCCGCATTTTCCCCACACTTACCTCCGACGACCCTTTGTTGTTTTTCTTTATCCGCCGTGCCTTGCTCCGGCCCGCTCTACTAGCCTCGGAACTTGCATAGTACCGAACACATGTACCCGAGTATTTACCACAAGTCACGTGACCAGGCCGAATGCACTGGGCCATGCATCTATACATATAACTATTTGTACGTCTTGAATCATGCACCGCCGAATCATTACTACGCACAGCTACCATACAAGTATTGCCGTACAACATCTCACTCATCAACCTTGTGTTGTGCTAAACTACGTGAATGCCAACCCGTTGTCACCGGGGTAGCCCAATTCGCTGGAACCACCTCGTCATCTTCATTCTTGCCTTGTCATCGTTGTTCGCCCACCACCATATCTCCCACTGGACATCCTTCCATTCCACCTGGAATATACTCTTCATATCCCTCAAGTCTTCCTCGGGTGACTTGTCCCTTTCAAACTCACACATCACTCGATCAACAAGGTATGCCATCGCCCAGTCAGAGATATTTAGAAGCCCATGTCTAGGCGACAGTTGCAAGAGCTGCGTCACATTCCGTAAGCGAGCCATAGGGTGAGCATCATCTTGAATCGAAGACTGTACAATCCTGGCGACGTGACGAAGGCAGACTCGCAGTAACCTCAGGGCCGTATCTTTATCACACAGGTCAGTGAGGGGCGGGGAGTCTGTGGATTGCGGGTGCCTCCATTCCTCACTTGACTCCGGCATTGTTATGGCCGGGTAAGGCGGCCGGCGGCCGAGTCGCCAGCGAACAGCGAGATCAATCAAATCAGGCGGCTGAAAGTAGGCTTGCCCTGCCGTTAGGCATATCTGAAGTAATCTGTGAATCCATGGTCAGCCAAAAATGCATCAATAGCTCCTCAGCTGGAGCTTGGTGCTCAGATTTTCCATGTCAAGAGTACCGCCTCAACACGCGCTGCTTCTAAGCGGCCGCAGAAGGTAAAAATACAAAGGAGAATATCTAATACTTACTTGCAACAATGCGCGTTGTTCCTGCGGAAATCCGACTCGAATGTAAATGGTAGCTTTGATGAATCTCTATCCGCTAAGAACTTGATGTTTCTTGGGAGCAGATGATGATACATAAAAGTAAAAACGGCGCATTCATCCAGTCTGTCAATCAGAGGTTCATCCTCAAGGTACGTAATCGCTATTTTACAGGGCTCCAAAAGATTTTTAGCGGAGTCGAAGTTCGTCAGCGCCCATCGAACTTCATTCGCAAGCCAGATGCGAACAACAGCAGCATAGAATCGAGCTCTTTGGTCGGGATTCATGCTCGTGTACGAACAAGTATGCTTATCTTTCGGGTGTCGTCTTTGTAATTGTCCCTCGTCCAACTCATCGGCACGAGTGACAAGGGTAAAAAACCCTTCAGAGAACTCCTGGTGATCTTCGGCATCGCTTACAGATAGGTAATCCTCTTCTTCAAGTTGTCTGCTCAACCAAATGTCCTCTAATATGCGGAGACCTTGATAGCGAGCTAGGACATCACATATCGCCATATCCGACCAATTAGCTTCGTAAGCATTCAGTTGAAGAGCGTCTAGAAGGCTCGTCTCGTGGCTATTTAAAGGTGACAGTGGACGTTTGGTGGCTAGCAACCCAGTCGTTTTTTCTGAAAGATCAACAACAAAACGTGCATGGACGGCTAGCATCTTGTTCAGCTGGTAGTCGTGTCTGTGTTGAGGGGAATGATGAATGATAGAACGCATGATGCCGAGATAGACCTTTCGCTGACACGTGACACGTGCTGTTATCTTGCATGTTCGAATCAAGTGGTGGACATCGTCAATACTGCCAAGAGCGTGGTATATGGACTCCAAAACTTCATTGGGTAGGTCTGTAAGTTTGGCCATAGGAGGCACCAGTAAGTATGCGGTAGTGTTGCCAAAGAGCACGAGATTGTGCCGTTTGTAGCCTGCATTTTTCAGCAAACGTTCCGCTTTGCTATTTGGGTGTTTATAGAACGGGACGTACCTAATATGTTTGTCTTTAACGAATGTACTGCCCAGTGTAAGACGGGGTAGGAATGCGCAGCGTCAGTTGTAAGAGTAGAATGCTATCGTGGTGGGTGGAATATAGCCCTGCTATAGCTCCAGGCAACCGACTAGCGACTGCTTGTTTAGGAATTCCATACACCTGTCACTAACAATTCACTATGTTTGGGTAACAACTTTCAGGTGGCATCAGGCTGGACCTTCTTCATCTTGCCAGCCGCCAGCCGCCAGCCTTATGTTAGAGCGCCATTGCAGCTCAGGTGGTCGGAGCGATCGCATTGACATCGCACAGAGCAAAAGAGAATACAATATAATTAACTACAACCCAAATATGCGAGACTTGTACTCTAGATTTGGAAATAATCGAATCCAAGACGCGTCATGGAATGGCCAGGCTGCGACTGCTCTGGTTGGCTGCGCCGCGCCTCCCGCTCCCTGATTGCTTGGCGTGCCGTTCTCTCACCTCCGTGTCGTCTCCGCAACCCGACTCAACCCCACACGTCATACTATCCACCTTGTCGCAATACATAAGATTTATCCTATCATCATGTCCGAAAACAACTCTCAGCCCCTCGATACCAACATGGAAGTGAATGATGAGCTAGACCGTACCGTCGATGAGGAGATCAAGCAAGACGCGACACAACTCGAGGCCGACGCCATGAATCTCGACGGCGCAAACGATACAGAGCCTTCCGCGATGAACGGCGCAGCAGACCCAGTCACCAGCTTTGAAGCGCGGATACCTGCCAAGAAGGATGCAACATTGCGCGAGTTCCTGGGGAAGATGGACGAGTACGCGCCCATCGTATGTTCACCCAGCCTCCAAGTAATATAACAGTGCACTGATAAGGCTGCTAGATCCCTGACGCAGTGACCAACTATTACCTCACCCGCGCCGGCCTGCCACCACCACCTCAGACATCACAGCATCTTGCGCGCCTCTTAGCACTCGCGACCCAGAAGTTCATCGCGGACATTGCAGCCGACGCTTACCAATTTTCGCGAATCCGTTCCTCAAACACAACCAGCAACAACCCTATGGGTGGTGCTGGAGGACCGCCTGGCGCAGCTGCTCCAGGCGGAGTGCCAGGCGGGAAGGACAGCGGTGCTAAGGCTAAGGACTATAACCTCGGTATTCAGCGGCCAGGCTATGGCGGAGGCGGCCAGGGAGGCAGCCAAGGACGCACTGTACTCACCATGGAGGATCTGGGCATGGCAGTTGGCGAGTATGGCGTCAACATTAAGCGTGGCGAGTTCTACCGCTAGACACATGTCTATGCAATCTCTCGACGCCCCACCCGGTGTCCACTTTCCATTGGCATATGCGAAAGATGGGTAATGACGGACGCAATTATTTGCTATCACAACAGGCATTCTCGGCGTTGAATTGGCATCGCAGGCGCAGGGGTTTCTGATCAGAATATTTTGCCCAGCAAGGGGCTCATCGCAATTGTACAATATCAGTACATAGTGGCTTTTGCACACACCAAAATGATACCCAAACTCCCATAAGATGCACGTGCGATCCGTTCTTCATTTGTTCTTGGTCTGCTTGTACATGAACTGCTTCCGTGTCCTAGAGTTGAATCGTCAGCTAATGCTAATCTCGTTGGCTCATTTAGAGGGACATACGGCGCAAATTCTCCCAACTTGTGTCCTACCATATCCTCGGTGATGGTGATGTCCAGGTAGCTCTTGCCATTGTGTATTTGAAACTTGAGGCCGACAAAATTCGGCAGTATCGTGGCTGAGCGGGCTTGTGTCTTGATCGGCGGGACCCGCTCACCTGCTTTTTTCTGAACTATTGGGAGGCTTGGACACAGTCAGAAAGGCCTGGGAAGGGTTTCATGAGTAGGCTTACGGAACGATGTTGGGTCCTGGTGGATGATTAGCCTATTTATTCACTTCTAGATTCAGCAGCGACATGAGTAAATACCTTTCCAGACCGACCGGGCGCATAGCGCGCGTGTGGGAAACATGGCGATGTTGAGCGTTGAAAGATGTCGTCGGCGAATGTTTTCAATTGCTTCCGATGGACGCTGGAAACCCACGTGAGAGCGCGGGGGAGATTGTGGAGCTAATGGCTTGGCTGGAGCGCGACGCGAAGTGCAAGCGATTGCTGTAAGCCGTTGCCCTCGCTGGAAGAATCCACTGTGTGTCAATTGTGCAGCGATTGTTTGTGGCCTACTGCGTGCTTTACCAACAGTGAAAGTTCCAAGAACCCATCTTTCTAGCCACGCAGCTCGTCCAATATGCCACCACGAGCACGCGGTGTCCAGCGAGGTAGGCGACAGCAACAGGCTGCGACAACACGTCTGTGCTAACACAGTCTGCAGGTGCAGACACAATTCGTATACTCGTCGCTACAGACAGCCATGTTGGATACAACGAGCGTGATGCCGTACGAAAAGATGATAGTTGGAGGACTTTCCACGAGGTCATGTGCCTGGCCAAAGAACATGATGTGGACATGGTACTGCACGCTGGGGACCTATTTCATGAGAACAAACCGTCGCGGAAATCCATGTTCCAGGTGATGCGTTCGTTGCGCATGAACTGCCTTGGAGAAAAACCATGCGAGCTGGAGATGTTGAGCGATGCGAGCGAGAACTTCGGCGGCATGTTCGACCATGTCAATTATGAAGACGAAGACATCAATATTGCGATACCAGTCTTTGCCATTCATGGCAATCACGATGATCCTTCGGGTGAGGGTTCCTACTCTCCACTTGATCTACTGCAAGCGTCTGGATTTGTGAACTATTTTGGGCGTACACCGGAAGTGGATAACATAGCCGTTAAGCCAGTACTACTCCAAAAAGGCCGTACCAAGCTTGCGTTGTATGGCCTGAGCAATGTGCGAGATGAGCGCTTGTTTCACACTTGGCGAGAGGGCAACGTCAAGTTCTTCCAGCCCGGTACGCAAAAAGACGAATGGTTCAATCTCATGAGCGTTCATCAGAACCACCATGCGCATACGCCAACAAGCTATCTGCCCGAAAACTTCCTTCCCGAGTTCATGGATCTTGTGGTATGGGGTCATGAGCATGAGTGCTTGATAGATCCGCGGTACAATCCTGAGATGGGCTTTCATGTCATGCAGCCAGGCTCGTCAGTTGCGACATCTCTGATGCCGGGCGAAGCCGTGCCTAAACATGTGTGTATCCTAAGCGTCACCGGCAAGGAGTTTACCACTGAGAACATCCGCCTAAAAACAGTGCGGCCTTTTATCATGAAAGAGATTGTTCTGGCGGAAGAAAGGGAGATCAAGCAGAAGGAATTGTGGCGTGTCAGCGACAACCGTGCAAAGATTACACAATATCTAAATCAAGTCATCGAAGGCCTCATTGAGGAAGCGAAACGAGAATGGCTCGAACTTCAGACAGATCGTGAAGAAGGCGACGATCTCGATGTTCCGCTACCGCTTGTTAGACTACGCGTTGAATACACCGCACCATCGCCTGGGGAATTTCATTGCGAGAATCCACAGCGAATCTCGAATCGCTTCATGAAAAAGGTAGCGAATGTCAATGACGTAGTCCAGTTCCATCGGAAGAAGAAACCAGCAACCAGGGCCTTGAAGAACAACATCGACGAACCAGATGAACAGGTGCTGGCTGAACTATCAATCGACTCGATAAAGGTCGACAAGCTAGTCAAGGAATTCCTCACAGCGCAGACGTTGACAATTCTGCCACAAAACTCATTCGGAGATGCTGTATCACAATTCGTCGACAAGGACGACAAACACGCTATGGAGACTTTTGTCAAGGAAAGCCTCACAACTCAGTTGAAGCATCTGATGGAGACCAACGAAGTCGAAGAAGAAGAAATTGTCAAGGAAATGGCAGAGTACCGTGAACAATTAGAGGATTTGTTTGCCTCAGGACAACTGAAGAGGGTGCGGAAATCCAAAATCAAACCAAAGCCAGATGGTTGGGACAGTGATTTCGAAGGTCCTTGGATAGATCAACCTGGTGCTCTTATACGCTCAGATAACGAGGAAGAGAAGGAGGATGAAGAGGGCCTTGCCCCTATACCTACGAAGAAGGCCGCCCCGCGTGGCCGCGCAAAAGCAACCGGTACGACTCGTCAGACAGCCACAACTACAAAGAAAGCAGCACCTGCTGCTAAAGGTGGTCGGGGCAAGAAGAAAGTAGTGGAAGAAGAAGAGGATGAGGAAGAGGACGACAATGATGTTATAATGCTTGATGACGACGATGACGAAGAAGACAGCGCAGAAGACCTATTCGTAGCATCGCAGAAGAAAGCTCCTGCGAAAAAGCCCGCTGCGAAGCCCACCAAAACCCCAGCACGAGCAAAGTCACCAGTTAAGAAGACACCTGCTACACGAGCTAAGGCGCCGGCCACGCAGACCAAGTTGAACTTTTCCCAAACACCAACACAGCGCAGTCAGGTAACACGACCTACGGCATCGCGCGGAAAGCAGCCTGTGCAAGAAGCCGTAAGCATTCTTGGACTAACTGATATAATATACATGTGCTGATGAGCAATAGAGCGATGATGAAATCGAGTCTGATGACGCTTTTGAGTCGGCACCTCCTGCAAGCGCTCGTGCTACTCGCAGAAGATAGACTACTGCCCTCGGAATTCAGGTAGCATGGCAAAAGCGATGGAGGAATCGAATAAGGACATATCACTTTTCGGGAATGGTTCCATAAAGGTGGTACGTTGTGTAGGGCGCATATCATAGCGAAGGCGTTCAGGTGTTTGAAATGAGCAGACTGCATCTAGCTGGCAGATCCAGTGTGCTTAACCGTGCGAAAGTGCCATGAGGCGCTACTGAATTATAGTGACTACGTATACTCTGTTCTCTCACTGCATGCTGTTTTCGTAGTCACTACTTCCGCTCTCTCTCTTACGTGTATTGTATATCAATCGTTCTTTCCTCATCAACTGCGAAAGGTGACTGCGTTCGGGCCATCTCTACTGCCTCACAAGCCAAGCCCCCCCTCGCAAAATCCTCCTCGACCGATCCACCTCTCGTTTCTTTCCTGATTTGCATACCTCAATGGAATCGTCTATGGGTAATTGCGATAGCATGCAAGCTATAACAACTTCCTCAACCGCCTACTCTCTTCTTCACCACAACACACACAAACGTTCTTTTTGGTTCCATCTTCTTGTTCAGTCTGTCTTCTTTCGCATTGCTGCGTCCCGGCTTTTTGGTTAGCCGTTGCTTCAATCGTTGTTCGCGTTGCCTCCACATCGATCAGCTTTGAGGTATGTCAACCCACTTCCTACTACACTGGCACACTTGTCTAGGAGCACACTCAAGCATGTAACCTTGAAACAAATTGCTAATAATGGAAGGATATTTGCATCAAACCATCTCAACCTCCTTTTCGTGTCCGGCTCATCGTCTCCATTGGTCAAACGATACCGACGGCACACTCAGGTCAGCGGCACCTCGTCGGCGATACCCATCTAGGGTAACGGATTACTCATAATGTCTCTCGCATACAAAGTGGATGAATTGCTTGCGTTGCGTGATTCGGTTTCGGAATCAGCCGTGTCGATCGAGAAGTTTCCTGATGAGGATGTTATCAGAGGTCGGTGCTGGCCATGCCCTTCTTCACCTTTCACCTTTCACCTTTCACCTTTCACCGTTCACACTGCCTACACAAAAAAATTCTGTCTGCCACAAAAGCTCAATATCCCTTGAAATTCACGAACACCTGTACCATCACCACCTCGCCGCCGCATACCTCCTTCCGCAGTCGGACGCTGTCCTGATCTCTGTACTTGCTGTACATATAGATAAACACTGACACACTTCTCTTTAGAACACGTTCTGCGTCCATCTGCATCTGCAGCAGCAAATCTCAACAGCAGGTTGTCGAACAGAAGCCTGCGGGTTCCTCCTACGACGACTCCCGCTCCGCTCGGGTCTCAGAAGAAGCCATCGCCTACACCATCGTTGAAGCGAGGAAAAGCCGAGAAACTTCTTAAGGAGCACGGCAGTCCACCTGGTTTGCGAGTGACTGCAGGAGGCAGAATTGTTCCCAGCGACCTTCCACCACTTGGCACGGCTCGATACGGCGACACCGCGTACCGGCCGCAACAACCGTTGCGAGTCGCTCCGGGCAACGTCATGCCGATGCAAGTCCCGTCGAACGGCAATAACACTGCCCGGATTGGGGTTATTGGTGGTCAGCCTGTCATCTTCATCGGAGATCGCATGTTTGCACTGCCGACAGTTAGCACGACCAGCTCTACACTGCCTCCTAATGGCTCTGCCGCTATGGATCCAGCAATCAAGCGAGGCCCTGACCCATCTACATCAGCTGTACATGGTACCATTCCAGGCGCTTCCTTTGGCCTGCCACGTTCTGGTACTCACACTCCGTTTGCTGGCATGGACCTTGCTACGCTGAAGGCACAACAGACCATCAAGAAGCAAGAGCTCCGAACTGTCGAGCAGACTGAAGTGCTACAGTCGAGCCACCAGAGTGACGCATGGCGAGCGAGTATGATCGAGAAGAAGCGCTGCCTTATTGTTGAACTCGATGCCCTCAGGAAGCAGATATCGGCACTGGAGTCGGGTGCCATCGCAGCCCAGCCCGGTTCCTTCTCCAATGCAGTCGGCGCGTCCACAGCACCTGTCCCCTCATTTGGAGTCCAGAACCAACAGCCGTTTGCTCCTGCAATGTATCCCTTCGCCACTGGCAATCAGTATGCACCCATGACGATGTATCAGTCGCAACCGCAGCCCTATGGTGCCTTCCCCAGCTTCCCCTCTGTGGAGCCGGCAGCGTTTGTACCAAGCACGGCCAATCCACATGCGCCGCACTCTCCTCCTGGATCAGCCAACCGCCGTTCTCGTGCCATTGAGATCAAGCCCCCGCCTCCGGAGGAGGGTAAGAAGCCTTCATCTCTTAACCCGAAGAGCCCCACCTATGAGCCAGCTGCAAAATCCGGTGACACGCAAGGAACTGTACCGCCTACGCCTTCGCCAGAGAAGTCATCGCCTTGGCATATCCAAGAGGCTTCAGAGCCCAGCAAGCACGATAGCGGGGCACCGACCCGAAAGCACAGTGTATCCAGCGTTGATACCATGGATTTCTTCCCTATCAATACACACGAGCACTCTTCTACACGGGTAGCGCCACCGAGCAAGGACACCAACCAGTCGACTGAGACTCATACTGCTCCATTGACACCAGAGGAACATTGGCCTGCCAGCCCATGGAACGAAGAGCACCCAGGCCGCGCTGGCAAGCATGAGCCTGCACCCAAGCTTACCTCATGGCCAGAAGCATTCGGCAAGCAGCCTTCACTGCCCTCCCTGCGACAGAGCACTGCGAACCAGTCGTTGTCGGCCCCCATCGAGCGTATACCAGGCATGGAAGCAAACGTAGCCAGGACTGCTCTGAGCAGTAATGCAGTCTCGCGGGTGAACTCGGCCCAAGATAGCAGCACTGGTCAGAGCTGGAAGCTCTCTGACAAGTCCGTCGTGCACGTTCCAAGCACATATCAAGAAGGCTACCAGGCTGGCTACGATCATGTTGGTATTCCGGACAGTCCGGATGTGCTGCAAGGCTATATTCAAGGTCTACTGCATTTCCTCACGGACGAAACCAAGAAGCGCCAAGCCGAGTACCAACACAGTGCCAACTCTAGCACCCCTTCGCTCCGAGGACTGGTTGCTGGGTCCTTACCTCACGACTCTCCTCGTGGCATCGACAGCTTTGGTAGTAGCCAAGAGAATGTTCGGTTGTCAAAGCCCAGCCTGAGTGACGATGCTCGTCGCGATTTCGGACTTGGCTCCCAAGGTGACGTCCAGGGAGGACTTGTCCCGTACAGGATGGGCAATGAAGTGATGAAGGCTTCACAGCAGCGTATCGTCTCAGGTGCGCGTTACCTCGCACCTCCTAGTCTTTTCCCACTGAAGATGGTATCTGGACATGGGCAAGCTATGGCTTCAAACACTCAGAACGATGCGAGCAAGGAGATTCGGGACAGAGGTATTGGACAGTCGAATGGTGGAACGCCACAGCAGTTCTTGGGTATCCAGGTGCAGAATCACAACTTGGGCACACCGTTGACCATGCAACGCTACTACACTACGGCCAAGGAACAGGGCTCTCAAGAGCTTGGTAGGTATGGCGCGCCTTCTGGCAAGGCTTCTACTAACGTTGGGTTAACAGGACTGGATGGAGCTATGGATGACCTTGCGGAGATGATCAACGATACGCATATCAACGACTGTGGCACGTCTATGGCGGGGGAGAAGCGGCCTGCCGAGACAGCCAACACCACGGAGTACGAGGAGAGCGATGCATCTTGTTTCAAGTCGTCGAGCGGCAAAGGCAAGCAGAAGGCCGCGTCTTCGCCCACCAAGACGACTGACACGGAGCGCGAGACTGTGACATCGTCGCGTACCAACACTCCCGGATCACCCAAGAAGGCCGGAGAGCATTCACCGGCAAAGGCGAAGCTAGAGCAGGTGACGAACAAGTTCCGCCGTGGCAAGAAAGACGACGTTCGCACCATGTCGCCTGAGGAGAGGACGAAGCGTTCGGAGAAGTGGCGCCAGCGCTTCCAGCAGCTCAAGAAGACGGAGATGGAGGAGATTGAGGCGTATCGTAGGAACTCGCGCACTTGAAGGGTCGTCGAATTTGGGCTCTTTGTCGAGTGTGACTGGATAGGCTGGATGCCATGTTGCCTGACTCTGGCAATACTTGGTCAGTGGCGTATGAGTACAGGGTGGATAATGTTTATTCGACAGCCAGGTAGTGCAGTTTGCATTGCGGCTCTACTTGGCAGTTTTTCTTTTTCTCGGGGGTATCCAACAAGGAGGACTGGATGGCAGATGGCAAGGAGGAAGTGGGAAGGAGAGTAATTGCATGTCTTCTTGTGGCTCCGACCTTTAGTAGTTAGGTTGTATAGGAGGGCAGACATTGTATGATTAAGTAGGCAGCATAGTCAGCCGCCACAGGCAAGCAGGATACTAATGTAATGTAATGACTTGATTACGGTCAAGGGTGGATGAAGGGGCTGTGTTCAGGTGAAGTCAGGCGCAAGGGAAGGAGATGGGACTAATATGCCATGCACGGCCGATGTAATACTGTACGGTGGAGGGCCGGGGCCGAACGATGGACTAGGCCCAAAGGGGAGGGTCTGGAACGGATTGGCGCTGGACGCGGTAGAGGAAGAGTGGTCGGATGCGTTCATGGATGTGGGAGGCAACGTCAGACGTCTTGTTTAGGGTGATGACAAGGACGGGCAGGCGGCGGCAGTGGTGGCAGTGGGTGGACGTGATGCGATGACGTGCGCGAGGGAATTGCACGGATAGCATTGCTGATAAATGGCGGTGCTGGAGGCATGAACGGACGATTGGGGGGAATGCTTGGAAATACACAGTGGCCGCGCGGTACTTTCTTAGTAGTCGACAGTCCCCACTGGCCTGAGCCCTCGCGCCCTTGATTCGCCGCCCTCGCCTCTGCGTCTATCCGGCACGGCTCTGGCTTCCCAACCCGCCCATACTCTAAGTAGCCCTGCCTGCCCTTCCCTTCCCTGCCCTGCCCTGCCCTGTCCTGTCCTGCTGTACCCTGCCCTCCTCCGCTTCCGCCTCTACCTCCACCTCTCCCTCCTCCTACTCCTCCTCCTCCTCTTCTTCGCCCGCTGCTCCCGCGTGGTAGAGTAGTCAATTGTCTTCGCTGCTGGATTGCCTGGCCAGCCCCTTGCGCCCCACTGCCAGCGGCGTCCTTCTTTGCCAACTCCCGTTCGACGCTCCAGCCACACGCACCACGATCCCGGCACCTTGACCTATCCCGCCGTGCCATGGCCCACTGACCGTTAAACGCGCAACCGAATAGTACTCCCTGAGTCCCCCTCTCCGCCTCACTAGCTGCCATCCGCTAGGCGTACCACTCGCCCGCTGCGCGTCTTCCATCCCTCCTCTTCTCCCACGGCTATGACGCAGCTTTTCAACTCGTCTCCATCAAGCCACTCCACCATGACCGAGAAACGCACCTTTTCGGGCAAGGCCCTGTCCATCAACAAGTCGGTCAATGGAAAGGACGGTCAGGTCTCGCAGCGCATCAAGAACTTCTTCCGCATCAACAGCAGCAACGACGCCCAGAAGCTCTCCGACGATGCCACGGGCGGTGCCCCAAACTCCAAGAACGAGAAGTCGGGCTTTCGCCAGTCGCGATTCATCCCGCACATCACTCGCAACCGCTCTCAGACCGTCGCCAGCGAAGGCAATCCGCTCGACGATGGCCTCTCGCCCACTGCCCACGCCAACCCGTATTTCGCCCACCAAGGACCCCCTGCCCTGCGCCATCACAACGACGGCAGCGTGCCCCCATCTCCCACGGATTCACAAAACATACCCAAGACACAAGTGAACGGTGGCAACGGTCCCGAGGATGATCATGCCACGACGGCTGGAAAGGAGGAATTGGCAAGGAAACTACGGAGGGTAGCTTCTGCTCCCAACGCTCAGGGCTTGTTCTCATCTGGCAAGTCTAATGAAAGGCCACAGACCGCTGAACTCGGCAAGCAGCCCGTCCTGCACCACCCGAACTCATCCACCCTGAGCATGGTTGAAACGCATTCGCAAGACTCGACCCACCTCCTACCCAGCGACGCCAGCAAGCCTATACCGTCTCCAGGCCAGATTCGCAATTCTGTAGCTTTCAGGAGGACCTACAGCTCGAATTCTATCAAGGTTAGGAACGTTGAGGTCGGCCCGGGCAGCTTCGACAAGATCAAGCTGATTGGCAAGGGTGATGTTGGAAAGGTCTACTTGGTGCGGGAGAAGAAATCTAGCAGGCTCTACGCTATGAAGGGTACGGCACACATTTTCTGTTTCTGGAATCTATGCTAACAATCTTTAGTGCTGAGTAAGAAGGAGATGATCAAGCGAAACAAGATCAAGCGTGCGTTGGCTGAGCAAGAAATTCTGGCGACCAGCAACCACCCATTTATCGTTACTCTATACCACTCTTTCCAATCCGAAGACCACCTCTACCTCTGCATGGAATACTGCAGTGGCGGTGAGTTCTTCCGCGCTCTGCAGACACGACCAAACAAGTGCGTTGACGAGGACGCTGCGCGATTCTACGCTGCCGAGGTTACGGCCGCATTGGAATACCTGCACCTGATGGGCTTCATCTACCGAGACTTGAAGCCAGAAAGTAGGATCAATTTTGCCTCCCTTCAAGAAAGACGGTGCTAATTTCCCCTAGATATCCTCCTCCATCAGTCCGGCCATATCATGTTGTCAGACTTTGACTTGTCGAAACAATCGGACACTGGCGGTCGCCCAACCATGATTCTTAGTGGCCGAAGCGGTACTTCGTCGAATAATTTGCCAACGATTGACACCAAATCTTGCATCAACAATTTCCGAACCAATTCATTCGTTGGTACTGAGGAATACATTGCACCAGAAGTTATCAAGGGCTGTGGACATACGAGTGCGGTCGACTGGTGGACCCTTGGAATTTTGATTTACGAAATGTTGTACGGAACTACACCCTTCAAGGGCAAGAACCGTAACGCCACTTTTGCCAACATTCTTCGAGACGAGGTGCCCTTCCCAGAGGGTTCTGGCGCACCGCAAGTGTCAAAGTAAGTTTATCTACAGACATTTGTTTGCTTCCTCTACTAACATTGTGTAGTCTTTGCAAAGCCATTATTCGCAAGCTGCTCATCAAGGATGAGACTCGCCGCCTCGGTTCACGCGCCGGTGCCTCGGATATCAAGAGTGCGCCATTCTTCAAGACCACGCAATGGGCGCTACTGCGTCACATGAAGCCTCCTATCATTCCCCACCAGGGCCAAGGCATAGAAACGCCTAATTTCCGAAATGTCAAGGAATCCCAGAGTGTGGACATCGGTGCTGCGAAATCCAAGGGTGTGCCCCTTGACTCTGGCCTTGCTACCCCCATGGGCGAGGTAGCCGATCCATTTGAGGAGTTCAACAGTGTCACCCTTCATCACGATGGAGATGACCATCATGACCACCATCACGACTACAGCGAATCGGGACACTCTGATTACTCGCAAAACAACTCGCATCGATAGGACAAGTGGTGATTTGCACACTCCAGACGGAGTCTTCTTAGGGAGGCCATTTGTATCCGATACTCTTCTCGACTCTGCTCGTTTTGCTTTCGACGTATGATAGAAAAATGAGTGTCTCTCATGTCATTGGCGTTTCAGGGTTCTTACTTCTTTTCTGTCGTTCGAGCATATTTCTTCTCAACTTTTTCAGCCAGCATTTTTCCGCCTCCAAAATCTTTTCGGCGTTGTTTGTTTTGTGTTTTAGGGGTATGGATGTCGAGGGACATGAAGTACAACAGTAGGCAGCTTGGACAACGGGCTGCAGGACGATATTGACTGGGTTTATGATGTTAGGAAGAGAGGAATTAATCACAAGACGTATTTTTTCTGCTTAATATGAACGCAAATTGTGTTGTGACCTTTTAAGACGAATAGTACTATGTTCTACGTATGATGAAAGGTATGTGTGCATGGACCACTTCGGAGTTTGCGGGGAAGACGCGACAATCGATTCGCAGATACCCAACGCGACGAGGATTTAGATTTAACCAGGGTAGTTTGCACCGAAACCCACACACTCTCCTAGGAAGAAACGAAGCTTCAAGGTAAAAAGAAGAAGCCTCCACACATACACGATTATCCCAAAGCACAGCTTCCTCTAAGCAATCCAACCATCGCACCCACGCCGACCCCACCACCAGGGCACACACGCGCAACCCCCCTTGCCCATCACAAACACCAGACCCTTCCACGGACACTCCCGAGAAAAACGAAACAAAAGTTTAAAAAAAACGACCAAACACACACCTATTTACCTTAAACAAAAGAAAAACAATGGCATCACTCGACCCCCAAGACGCAAACTACGCCGACGACGAAGAAACACTCACACCACTCGAACAAGAAGTCCTAGATGAATACGCTCGATTACTCGAGAACTTGAATACCGTATGCCTTCCCTTTATCCCCCTGTTTCCCCATCCCACTTCCCTACCCCTCCCTCCAATCCACATAACAGAAAGCTAACGCTGCAAAAAAACAAACGAACAGATGTCCTCCCTCCTCCTCACCCTCTCCAACAACCCCAGCGCCGTAATCCTCGACGGGCTGCGCGGTCTCGAACGCAAGACGTCGCTCGTATTTACGCTGTTGAAGGCGAGTGTGTATAGTATTGTTTTGAATCAGCAGATTGAGACGGATGGAGGGGATGGTGGGGTTGGGGAGGAGGGTGGGGTTGATGAGATGTGAGGAAGGAAAGGAAAAAGTTGGACAGGATGGGATGAGGAGGATGAGGAGGATTGAAGGAGAATATGATACCCCAGGTAGAGATGAATTGAAAGAGGACTGCAAGGATATAGAGATATGGGAGTGAGGGGTTGGAAGAAGGTAGAATGGTATGATATACACGAGTTTTCTTCTACAAAAAACGCTTATATGCGCATTCAGACCACCCAATGCATATGCGTTATGGTACATGTATCCCCATGACTTCTCCCCTTCTTTACATCAAAATATTCATACATGGTGTCCGTCTAGTGTATGGAACCTCCATAGTACACCTTGCGTACATCGACTAGCTTCTTGCCGCGAGCTCTGGCAATCTCGTCGGGCAGCTTCTGGCTGGTGAGAGCTTCCCAGGTAGCCTTGATGACGTTCATTTTGTTTCTTGAGCGGGGGGTTTTGGCAGAGAGGTCTTGGAGTCCGGCCGCGCGGGCGAGCTCGAAGATGAGATGTTGGACGCGGAGACCGAAGCCTAGTTATTGCGTCATTAGCAAACTGCTCAGAAATATAGAAACGAAAGCAAAAGACGATGACTTACCGGGTGGTCTTGAAAAAAGCTGCACCTTTGTCGCGCCAACCTTCTTCTCTAAATCTCCAAATGTTGTCCTGTTCTCGTACCGTGGGACAGGCCTCATGTTCCTGATCGCACTCATGATACTTTGTTTCCTGCCTTCTTCAGGTTCGACGGACTTGCCTTCTCCCACACCTAGTAGACCGTCTTGGTTCCCCGCAATGGTAAGGTAGTATAAACTCCTGATCTTGCCCATGCGCGTTTGGTTCGTAACACCGTGAACAACAAGTGTCTTGACTCTGATGCTGCGCAATTTTTGCTTGTCCCAACCCAAGTATTGCAAAAGACGCTTCTGCCGTGGATCCTCCTCTTCTTCGGTGGAGAGTCGACGGGTTTGGCGTGCCATGCGGTTTTCTACCCTCGGTAGATCGGGTGCAATTACAGAGTGACGTTCGTCACCGAGCGCCTGAAGTGCGGCGGGGTTTTTCGATGTATATGTTGCGCGCGGGTCGAGGGCAGCCTGCGTAATGGCCGCATCCATGGCATTTTGCAGGCCTGGGTCGTCCTCTGGTATACCGTCTGGGTACATCTTTGCAAGGTTCTCCGATGCAATACGGGAAATATTCTCATCTCGTTCCACTTCGTTGGCGATTCGGAATGTCTTTGGCCCCTCGATGTCGTCTCCGGTCAGCTTCTCAGGCCGGTCGGTGACTGGATCAACTTCCGCAAGATCGTCTTCGTAGTTGAGCCGCCAAAAATCGGTTCTTCGCTGACCCTGCGTAAGGACATCTCGGGCATCGATCGTAGTTTCTGCGGCTTTGATGGCGGCGATTTGCGAGGGTGTATATTTTTTCTCGAGAAGCGTTGTTTCCGAGGTGTCGTATTTCGGATACTCGGCCTCGGCGGCCTGGGTGAGGAGCTTGAGTTCGTCTGCCTTTATTGACGGGTAATGCGGTCGTTTCTTGCGGGCTTGCCGAGATGCGGAGGCATGGAAAGTGCGTTGCGGAGGTGGTTTAGGGAGGGTCGTTGAGGCGGCCTTAGTAAAAAGACATCTTGCGGGGCGGCAGACGCTCATTGTTGCCCTTGAGCCTCGTCGCGAGGGCCAATTGAGCGTGGAGAGGCTGTAATAGCGGGTAGTCTGCGCGCTTGGTGGTGCTTGAAAGTGAAGTTCGGAAAGTTCACAGTGACTAAGCGGCATGGGCAGTAAATGCTGTAGCCAATCACACCTCTTCCCAACTCAGTGACTAACATAACTTTTCTCGACTGTGAGACTTGGTGCATGTACTCCCGAATTCTCAGTCGACCACTTCGGACTCTGCTGAGCAGTAGCCGGTATTCCCAGATTGCCAAGCGCAGTATGGCCTCTTCCGCAGATAATGTTGCTCCCATAGAGAGTAATGGCGCGAAAAGACACGCCGAGACGCCTCTGCGTAGCGAGGAAGGTTCACGAGGAAATTACAGGTTCAAGAACAAACGAATGAAAAATGGTCATGCCGAGCAAAGCAAGATACTAAAAACAAACGGTACCAACGAGGAGGTCTTGTTGGAGGATGTCACTGCCCTCATAAAAAAATTCAAGCTAGAAAGAGAAGGGAAAGAGACATCAACGCAACTACCCGAAAAATTCAAAGAAATTACTGTCGAGATCAGGGAAATATCATCTACCGGAGATGGTCTTGGATTTCAGCAAGGTTCAGATTCAGATCAAGTCTTTGTTGTACCTTTCAGTGCGCCTGGAGATGTTGTCACCGCACGTCCGCACAGGCATTTCGAGAAGGAAAAATACTCCATGGCCGATTTTGTCAATGTTGTTACGCCCTCAAATCACCGCGACTCGTCTCTAGTAAAGTGCCCCTACTTTTCCAGCTGCTCGGGTTGTCAATTTCAGATGCTGCCCTACGATTTCCAATTGGAACACAAAAAGTCCATCGTTCAGAAAGCCTACAAAAACTTTTCCAACCTACCGCCCGAGCTTGTTCCGACTATCGGCGATACTATTGGATCGCCTTTGCAATACGGATACAGGACGAAGCTCACTCCGCACTTTGACGGTCCACCGGATGCTCGTCGAAGCGACGGCCGAAATGGCATCAGACGTACATTCAAAGAAGTACCGCCAATTGGCTTCATGAAAAAGGGGACCAGAACCACCATCGACATAGAAGATTGCCCGATCGGAACCGACGCCGTGCGCGCAGGCAACAAGCGCGAGCGCAAACGCGTCGCCGATACCATTGACAAGTACAACAAAGGCGCCACTATCCTCCTCCGTGAAAGCACCACCCGGATACCCAAATCCGAATACGATGCCACTAAGGAAGAAGACCCAGATGCGGTCATCGAAGACCGAGGCGACTGCATCCACCGCAAGATATGCATAACAGACTCCAATGCAAAATCCACCGAATACGTCGACGACTTCCAATTCGTCAACCCAGCAGGCTCTTTCTTTCAAAACAATAACAGCATCCTCCCCGTCTTCACCCAGTACATTCGCGAGCACATCTTACCTTCTTCCCCAAATCACAAAATCAGCCACCTCATCGATGCATACTCTGGCTCGGGTCTCTTTACAATTACGTTATCGAGCCAGTTCAAAACATCACTGGGCATCGATATTTCCTCGTCGAGCATTGAGTCCGCAACAACCAATGCGCGTCTGAATGATCTACCCGAAAGCTCCGCACGTTTCATCGCTGCAGATGCTGCACGCCTCTTCGCTTCGATCGAGACTCCTGCTGATGAAACGGTCGTTATGATTGATCCCCCACGAAAAGGCTGCGATGAATCTTTTCTGCGACAGTTGGTGCAATATGGCCCCGCGAGAATCGTTTACGTGAGTTGTAATGTGCATACGCAAGCCAGGGATGTTGGTGTTTTGGTTGGCGGCATGAAGGGCGTAGATGGTGGGTTTGGAAAGGGAGAGGGATGCTATGAGATTGAGAGCCTGAGGGGCTTCGACTTCTTCCCTCAGACGGGGCATGTAGAGGGTGTTGCTGTGCTGACTAGGAAGACGATGGGATCAGTTGGAGAAACTAATGGGGCACAGGGTAGTGAGGTGACGATGGAGTAGTTAATCTGCATATCTCTGGCGTTTTGGGGGACATACGGACAGACACAGTATTTCTCTAGCCGGCGCATACATCAGCATACAAACGTAAAAAGTCATCACTGCCTTTGCTTGGTTAAACCTTCTGTCAAACTACACTCGCGTTTTGGCATATACATCACGTTTGCACAGTCACATGGATTTTATGTTGTGATGTCAATCCTGGGATTCTCGACAGCTTTGCACTTCTTTTATGCTCGCTCAGTAAATTCTTCTCACATATACGCTTGCCTAGTATTCTCGTGTTTGGCCAGTTACGAGCTTCCTGGTCCACCGAGCAGGGCGAACCGTCTGACAATACTGGGGCCGATTTCATCGTACTCCGCCTTGGTATGGCAATAGCTCTTGAACTCGGGCGTCTGTCCGAGCAAACTACCTCCGAACCAAGGACCGTGTCTTTGTCTCTTGTGAGTAATGACCTGTACATCCAAACCACCACTCTTTGCACCTCCACTCCGTGCTTCAGAGGCCTTGATCCTGGCATCAACCATGTGTCTAATGTCACGCTGCAAGCGGCGACCAAAGTCTTTGTAGAGTGTTGAACCACCAGACAGAACAATGTTCTTGTACAGTCCCCTACGTACATCGATGGGTGAGGACTGAATGACGGTATCGACAATGGTGGGTAGCGGGGTCAAGAAATCGGAGGAGTAGATCTCGGGGTTGAAGAAGATTTCAGGTGCAAGAAAGCGCTCGTAACCGACGTCTACGGAGGCGGTCCTGCCATTGGGGTAGTTGACCGTGTACTTCTTGAAGCGGTCGTCTGATTCGCGGTCGAAGCGTGCAAACTCCTTCACGATATCTGGGCAGACGTAACAGAATTCCTCTTTGATGCGTTCAGCGGTCTGAAGGGACGAGTCAGGCTCGCCACGTTCTCGGAGGAGCGATTGGACAAAGTTGGTAATGTCTCGACCGGCAATGGGGACACTCTTGATTGAGGAGCCAATGACGTAACCTTCAGCAACTGGGATAACGTGTGTAACACCAGCACCGGAGTCGATGACGGTACCCGTGAGGGATCTGTCCTGCACCTTGGAGCTTGTCCATGACGCGGCCAATGCAAGCACAGCTTGCACGGCAATGTAGAGACCGGCGACGTTGAAGGACTCGAACATGATCTCGGCGGTGGCTTCGCGGTTCTCTGGGGGGTTCAATGGCTAGACAGCAGTCAGCATATGCGTTTTCTGAGTTGTCAAAGGACGGCATACGGGTTCAGTGAGCAGGAAGTGGTGGTCTTCCGGCTCTACTCGCAGGTACTTGAATATCGAATTGGACCAGAAACGCTCCATGAGATCCTGCCGAGCATCAGTTTTTGGCCTCATTCTTCATAATGACTCGTCATACCCAGTTGTCTATCTGGCCGTGTCTAATTGGGTAGTTGATGCCATAGCCCGCGCCTCCTGCTGCGGCCAGAGCTTCATCACCAATGAAGAAGTCCAGGTCTTCGGTGCCTCGTTTTCCAGAAAGATGTCCACCAGGACCAGCACCACCGGTCAGAAATGAGGGTTTGTTCGCGACAGCTGGGCGTCCAGAGCCAGATCCGCCGGTACCGCCAGTTGGGCCCTTGGTAGCTATCGCGGTGGGAAAGACGAAGGATGGGGAGTCGTTGCCGGCGAAACCTAGGATTGGGCGTTACTAAGAGCTAAAGAGGCTGGAATCAATGTCTAGCATACCGAGCTTCGAGTATCCCGTACCGCTGTGTGCCAACGTCAGTACTCAATTGGGAGTGGGGATGCCAACAGGCAGCTGGGAGCTTACTTGTCCATGACAACGGCGGGGGTTTGGGACGCCATATTTACTGCTGCTGCTTGCTACAAAAACAAATATGCAAAAGCAGCTGAAGGAATCCCGGGTGGAGGAGAAAAGCGAGAAGCAGGTGTGGAGGTGGCTTCGTCAGAGAGGTGATGGCGGAGGTCGGCGTCGGGTGCATGTGGGCTGTCGTCGAATCAGGCACCGCCCCGCTCCGCTCTTGGCAGCGGGAATTGGAACACAATGGCGGGGGCCGCTATTACTTGTGGGTGAGCCACGTCCCAGCTCTCTGTTTGTAAACACTGTCGCTCCTTCTTCTTCCTAGACTGCCGTGCCTGTCTTTTTTCGCGTCACACATGATGATTCATATGCTACGCACGTGGCTTCAACAGACGCAGAGGAAGGTGTCTTTCGCTAACAAAGCTCTGACATTACCTACTACTAACCTCTCCTCCTTCACTAATCATAGCCCTATAGCGCTCGCCGGGCATCTCTCTCCGACTCTCATTTCTTCACTCGTCCGTGCCGCGCAGTCCCTCCACCGTCGCCTCGATTTCTTAATTTATTTTCCCTTCTTGTTCCTCTCCTTTCTCTCTCAGTCAACCTGTGCTATTTCCATACCCTATCTATTTCACCATTGATTCTGAGGCCGTCACCATCTTGCATGGCCGCCTGAAAACCGCTCCTCCTTACGATTTACGACAATTGAAGGCTTCTATACCCACTTGCACTGGGCACGTGCTCAACGCAAACACAGCTTGTACATTCACATACTCGGCTTCGTCCAAACAGCAATAGGCGACAGTTGTGCCATACGCTGGATACTTTCGCCCCTCACTTTCGACATATACGCCGGTGCTTTTCGACGCACAAAGGCATGTCGGTCCCTAGTCATCAATTTGCGCCTGTAGATGGGGTGCCCCATGTCGATACACAAACACGCAAAGCGGCGCGTAGTCCGCCCCACGACGACATATGCTGCATCTATGTCCATGCCGGGGCTGGGTACCACAGCCACCAAAACGAGAGGATACATCTAGAGGCATGCAACGAGTAGGTATTTCTGGCAATGTGAAGTCTTACTAAACTTTTGCTCATCTTCTCTAGTGCCGCACAAATCGCTATGCTCATTCTCAAGAACGGGGGCTCTGCGTTAGATGCTGTTGAGATTGCCATCAAGACGCTCGAAGACAGAGAGATTACCAACGCTGGGTACGGAAGTAACCTTGCCATGGACGGCGTTGTAGAATGCGATGCCTCCATTGTGGATCATTATGGGCGTAGCGGGGCCGTTGGAGCTGTGGCTCGTAAGTTATTAGAGATGAAGGCATGTTCCATATTGACGATTCTTGACAGAAATCAAGAACCCCATATCTCTAGCACGTATGGTTCACGACCATACCATGGATCCGCTTACACTGCGCCGAGTCCCTCCAAACCTCCTGGTCTCCCAAGGTGCTACTGATTTCGCCATCGAAATGGGTATGCCAATTCTGCCGCATGATGCACTGATCTCACCAGCTGCCAAAGACCGCTGGATGCGATGGCTCTCGGATTTGAGATCTGCAGAACTTAAATCAAAGAAGAGCGGCACACATCCGTCATGCTGGAAGATCAGGGAGAAACTCGAATCAGAAGATGAGGCTGAACGGCAACAGATGCGCGAACAGCACACCCAAAACTTGCTAGCAGCCTGCACATTCCTCTCGCAATCACACTCACCCCTATCTTCAGACCATACAATGTATGGCCAAGTCGAAAGTAACCAGTCTGATTCTTTGCCTCTATCAAAGCGGTCTTCGGGTTCTTGGAACAGTGACGATCAAATCAATACCCCGGAGTTGTCTGAACAAACATCGTTGATTGGCAATCCCTCTCGCAATGCTTTCATCAATAGCATGCAGACAGTGCCTACCCTGAGCCAATGCAGAAATACTCACGCGGGCCCCGACTTGGGCCACAATAGTGTCATAGATACCAGTCCACAGGAAGAAATGCATGGGGCCTTTTCACGCAAAGCTTGGGCTGATGGCTCGAGCGATGATTCCGATTCTGGATCTAGCGCTCAGACAGCGAAGGTCTACGCTTCATCAACACCTCATGAACAAGCAGCGGAGCCTGACCTGCTCGAGAGTATAGGCAGTAAGACTGCAGAGACCAAACTAACTCGGCCAGTTCCACCCGGACCAGGTCCACAGCAACCCGAGGAAGACCACATCACCGACACTGTTGGAGCTATTGCAATAGACAGTTGGGGCAATATAGCCTGTGGTGCTTCTTCTGGGGGTATTGGTATGAAATACCGCGGGCGTGTCGGCCCTGCAGCCCTTGTAGGGATAGGCACTGCAGTCATTCCTGCCGATCCAAACGACCCCGACCAGATATGCGTAGCGACTGTAACTAGCGGGACTGGTGAGCACATGGCGACAACTATGGCTGCTACTGTTTGTGCCGAGCGACTCTACCAAAGTGTGAAGAAGGGTCGTGGCGGAGAGTACATTGAGGTCACCGAAGATGAAGCTTTGAAAGCCATGATCGAGAATGAATTCATGGGTACGTGACTTTCCAGGGTGCTACTCTGATTATGCTAATAACATTCCAGGCCATCCAAGTGTCAAGCACAGCAATTCTGCCGGAGCTATTGGCATTTTAGGTGTCAAGAAAATGCGCACTGGCGTGTTGCTGTATTATGGACACAACACCGACTCATTCGTCATGGCTTCCATGTCCGCTTCGGATGAACACCCGGCCTGCTCAATGTCACGCAGCAACGGTAACGGCCAAGTTGCTCAGGGCGGCCGCATGATATCCATGAGGCGTAGCAAGAAGGCAAAATCTGCATCTCGTCGACAAGTGTAGTAGCTTTGTGAGAGAGCCTGGAACCTATCCCATCTTTCTGCTACTTTGTCTCCTCTTTCCCAAACCCTATAGCCGATCCTACCGATAGAATGTCATTCTTCTGTACGAATACGAAAGGTTGAGATATTCCATGTTGGTTTAGAAACGCATGCATGGGAACAGTCTTCCTTTTGCTGTTTTTCTCCAGAAGACGAAGACGACCAAAATGTACATTAGATCCATGGTATTCAGCGGTCCTGTTGAAATCTCCTCAACTCTTCAAAAAGATGCACACAATCGAAATACCATTACAGCCAAAGCTCATCCTTACCTCCCATCATACCCCTTAACCTTTCCATCCCCCCCACTCCCCTCGACCTCCCCCCTCGCCACCCCAAGACTCCTCTGAAAAGCCCCCGTAATCCCAATCTGATCCGTCAAAACACTCATCATATCGAACCCCCTCTGCGCATACATTCTCGCATCCTCACCCGAATTACAATAAATAGCCACTTTTTTCCCTTCGGCATGCGCAGCATCTTTGATCTTCTCAATCGCCGCGTTGAGCTCTGGTGCGATTTCTCCCGTGAGAATAGGGTGTCCGATGTTATTTCCTAGATCGAAGGGGCCGATGAGAAGGACGTCGACGCCCGGTATAGCTGCGATTTCGCGGACGTGTTCGAGGGCGGGTGCGGTTTCGATTTGGACAATAGTTACTAGCGTTCTTTTTTTTCCCTCTAAAATCAGTAATTTGAATCGTAAGGGGAAATGTTGATGTCTCGCGGTGTTTTATGGGGTTGGATGGGCAAAGGAAAGGGGCAGGGGAGACTGAACGAATTCGCATGTTGCAGATAATACGACATTGCTTCGTTTCCGAAACACTGTGTTGGCAGCGGTGATCCAAATCCGCGTGTACCTTGTGGAGGAAACTTTGCAGATGAAACGAGGCGTTTTGCATCGTCGACGGTGTAGATGAGGGGGACGATTATGCCGTGTGCGCCGGAATCGAGGGCGCCTGTTTTCTCCCTCTTACTATCAGCTATTCGTGCATACCAGGTTTGATTTGCCCGTCTCAAGGTTTCCTTTTACTTTTATCTTCTTTGTGGGATTGGAAAAATCACACATGTTTGGGGGTTTCATATGTTTTGGGAATAGGGAGATGGATGGGAACTTACGCTTCACCATCCACGCCTCATTCGAAGCAATTCTTACAAGCGGACTTACGCCTGCAAGCGCAATAGCAGTGACAGCCTCGTGCATTTCGCTATCGGATATGTTGCCGTGTTCCGTGTCGACGCAGATCCAATCGACGCCTGAGCGGGCGATTGAGCGGGCGAGATTGGTACCTGGGAGCATCTGACATTCATCTTCTTAGTATCTATTCGCTATGGTGGTTGTTGAGTTAAAGTAAACTACTAGGGAAGAGATTAAACAAACCTGCCATCCTCCGAACGTCGGACTGGGCTTTTGGAGGGCCTTGTATATTCTGCTTGCTTCTTGGAGGGTGTTCATTTTTCTTGTTGAGAAGAAGAAACTGGGTTTGTGTAAGGGGGAGGAATTGAAGTTGTTGATGATTGGGAATTGTTTTTTAAGGAGGAGGAGGCATGGTAGAGGTGTGAGGCGGAGAGAGGGTAGCTTCGTCATAGCTTGTTTGTAGGTGTGTATGCGTAGGGAGGGGTAGCATGGGGGGTGGAGCAAGCTTCCCCACATATTTTACCCCCACACACCGCGGTAGAAGGATGCGGCTCCGTGGGGAGACCAGATAAGGTAAGCCGGAAGGTGGATGAGGGCTGGGGGCGAAGAAGCTTGATTTAGGGTGATGTATAATTGGTTGGGCTTGGTTTTGATCGTGTTTGCTGTTTGTTGAAAGCACATCAATCTTTGTCTAGTCATGTGTGTTTGCTTCGAGCCGTTCAAAATCTCCATCACCACGGTCGTGTCGGAGAGAAATACGTGAATACACAAAGCGAAGTCGAAGAGCGAAACGTCGGCAAGAGCTGGTTCACCAAATCGATCTCCGGTGGTAACGTTACACTGCATATGTAGAAGAAGCGTGCCGCTGCAGTGCGTAATGTTCACGCAATAGCCAGGGTATTTGCATACACATGAGAAAAGTTGGAGCGCTAGTTAATGCAGAACTTCAAGTCTAGGCTATAGCTTGTCAGAAGCATTCATGTATGGTGTGCAAATGCTGGGGACAAGTGATCGCGTTACGACTGTATGGTGCATCACAAAGGTCGTTTATGAGAAGCAACTCTAGTGGCCTGTTCTATTGCTATTTATCCAGATATTTTAAAGCGACTAAGCTCAATCACCAAAGAGTGTTGAAAGGTATCCCGATCTAAAAGTCGTTTCTCTTAGCCAGGAGATGACACATGGCAGTGCCGCGCAGCACACCAACACTACATAACTGGCAACTCAAACCGCTCTGAACACTAGTAATCGGCGATAGCACACAGCCTTGATAGCGTCTCTATGCTGCCGCCCTGAGAATGAACTGGCAGTTGGGAGCTGTCGCCATCTGATACGTGATGAGTTCCGTTCCTTCCTCTTTGGCTCCGCCACGGACGTTGAGCTGCTTCTTGCCATCCACGTGGTTGATGCTGTATCAAGATTAGCGCAGCCCCGAATCCGAGAGAGAGAAAAGAACAAGACACGTACTAGTAGGCGCCATTTCCGGCATGTGCAAGCTTCCAGCGGATTGAGGAGTCCTTGGGGGGAAGGAGCTGAGTGGTGACTACCTTGCTCGTGTCTATGGATTTCGTGTTAGTGCTTCAACTTTCTAGTTGCTGACAGCAGGATTGTAATTTGTAGTACCGTGAGCAGTCATGTAGAGACCAGAGTTGACGGGAATGATAAAGTACTCGCGGTCGCCCTTTTCGGGGTTACCGCCGACGCCTCCAGCGCAGACAATCTGGAATTGGTGGTTTGATGCATTTGGGACTTTCTTGCTGTAAACCTGTTAGTCGGATAGTTTTCGAAACACAGGATAAACAGGATGGGTATGGTAAAGGGATGATGTACTAGAGCTTGACTTGGGTGCCTTCCTTCTTTTCGCCTTTCCAGATGTCGAGCTCCATCTCAGGGGCGTGGAAAGGAGAGATGGTGTAGATTCCAGGGCCGGTGTAGTCAGACATGATGAAGGAGGTTGGTGTTGGAAAATCGGGAATGGGGTTGAGTGGAAGTGTTGTGGTTTGTGTAGATGAAGAAGAAGCTTGAGTTTGATGATTGATTCCAAGGAGTCAGGGAGAAGGGGTTTATATAGACGATTTAGACATAGAAAAACCACTGCTTCGGTATGAAGATTCTCATGGCCAATTGAATATAGACACATGACTTCAACATCCGGTGTATACATATGCAAGGTATGCACATATATGTAACATGCATCTGCTTTTTCTGACACTCGATGATCGTTACTTATGTGAGGGGAGTGCGTATGCTGCTGCATACTATCCACTACCCATATCTACTTTCAAGGCAGTTCTCTTTGTGTAAACTTGAGTTTGGTCTCGTTAGAAGAGATTGACGTGGACTCTTCAAGGTATATGGGTATATCACGACAAGTAGTTGATTAAATTCATTTGAGAGTAGATGCTCGTAGAGCGGGTGTGGGGATTGGTGCAGCATGATTATGCGGGGTCGGCCCGAGCCTTTGATGCTTGCTTTTCCTGTGTAACATTAGTTGCATGCATCGAGGCAATTACTTGGCCTTGCATAATATCATATGTTTCGACCTTAATTAATGACTTCCAAGGTAATGAAGACACGACCGTGAATATATAATCTACAATCAAAAGGATATTATATTGCTACAAGTGCCAGAAAGACACTAAGTACGTCTCCGATAGTATCAAATGCTCATAACGTTTCCATTGATACAGAAGACAGTCGCCTCATTAATGCAGCTGAATGCAGCTAGTGTAAGACTCTGACTAGTACACCGTTCACATAGCTGGTGGCTACAAGCCCATTTACCGTTCTTATTCAAAAGGATCAGTGGGGAAGGAAAATATTTGTAAAGAGGAGACACTCGAGTAACATAATTTGATGACACAGGACCTAGCATTGAAATATCCACATAAATATCGAATTACTTTTCCTTCTTGTTCGTCTCCAAGAGGAGTATTTCGTCCTGACAGACATGAGATGTATGCACGCTAGTGGATTTAACACCGGATAGTTGGGGGAGAGAGGCGGGTAACGGCCTTGCCATATCTTATATTCTTTTTGCTATGTACATCAATTCGCATCTTTGAATTACTGGTGATGGAGTCTTGGGATGTATATCGTTTGATCAAACAACTAAAACTGTTCATGTTTTCCTTGCTCTTCGATATTGTCGGTGCTGTCACCATGCTGGCCTGACGCACTCATTAACCAACGCCAGAGGAAGACAGTGCATGGCAAACATGCGAGTATGTTTTCTTTGCTCGTATTCAACTGCGTTCAGCCGACTATGCCAATGAAATGCCAGATTATGTATGATGAGAAGTGGCGAGGCTGTCTGAGGGTTGTATGTTCTCCACTATACGCCTCACCGCTACACTCCAAGCGAGTCTCGTGATCTGTGTAATGGCTGCATCAAAAAGCTCATGTAATATTGGATGTGAGAAATGGACTTTTAATGATATCAGAAGAGACTGAAAAGGGAGCAAAGCGCGTCCAGAAACGATTAGGTTGTGGTAGTGCAGTCTCAAGCTCGCTCAGCCTGATCCATCAGTTTCATCACATCTCCTTCCTTGAAGCGATGCATGAGTTTAAGCGATGACGCTGAAGTTTCTTGAGATCCAGCCTTGTCGATGTGGATCTAGTCGAACATTCAGGTACTCTTCAGGAAAGCATATATAGACAGAGATGGTCCAGGTTGGCTTACCACCGGAGTATCAAACTCGTACAAGCCTTTCCACTTGTCCTGGCCCTGTTCCATGACATTGATCTCGTGGTACTCGAGCGGCCGCTTTGCCTTTACATTATGAACAACCGCTTTCGCATCATCACAAAGGCTGCATGGGGTTCGGGTGAAGAAGGTGATGCGGCAGGCGAGTAAGCGAGAGGTAGCGCGCAACATGGTGGGCAGCTGCGGCGCGAAGCAAAGCGACCGAGAAGCATCCAGCAACAGTCGTCGGACCCCAGATGGAAGAAATGCAAAGCTTGGTTGCGCCTTGGCCGAGCACCAAACGGGGACGCCTCGTCGACGTAGAAGCAAGGTCCGCGCTTGGACCCCAACCTATGACATGATGGGGTGCAACGTTCCAGAATATTCCGACGCGCGAGGTGAACATCTGGGGTTCACGACACCAACGTAAAGAGCGCGCACTCGACGTCCATTACACACTCGGTTTTGCGATTTTGAGAATCTTTGACATGGCGAAAAAGTGCGTTCACAAAGGGTGCGGCAAGACGTACGAGGACGAGAATGAAGAGTGCGTCTACCACCCAGGCCCACCAGTCTTCCACGAGGGGCAGAAAGGTAGGTCAGCATGAGGCGACGCCTTTGAATTGGACCAGATGGACTGATTCATGGCAATCCAGGCTGGAAATGCTGCAAGCCTCGCGTCCTGACGTTTGATGAATTCCTCGCAATCGAGCCTTGCACAAAGGGCAAACATTCCGATGTAGACGACACACCTGCGCCCGAGCCTGTTGAGACGCCCGATGTACCCAATGGCACAGCAGTCAATCTAGGATCGCTCGACGAGTCTCTTCCGCCGCCTGCGCCCCGAGTACCTACTGCACAAGCTGCGCCCAAGCCCACAGCCTCGCCTGCCCCACCCCCAGAGTCCGAAGACGACGACCCAAGCATAGCGGTGAAGGAGGGCATGACATGCAGGAGGAAAGGATGCGGTGCTGTACACAAGGGAGGTGATAGGCAGGGGGAGAGTTGCGTACATCATCCTGGCGCGCCAATCTTCCACGAAGGTAGCAAGGGTTGGAGTTGTTGCAAGAGGAGAGTGTTGGAGTTTGACCAGTTTATGAACATTGAAGGCTGCAAGACAAAGGACAGGCACCTGTTTGTTGGCAGTGGCAAGAAGAAGGAGGGTGAGGAGAAGCTGGATACAGTCCGGTGAGTGTGCTTTTTGATGGTGCTCCAGGATGACTGCTGACAACGTCACAGACACGACTACTACCAAACGGCGACTTCAGTGGTCGCCTCTCTGTACCTCAAGAAGATTGACAAGGCCACTGCAAGCGTTGAATTCCAGCCGTCGAGTGTGAAACTTGACCTGCCTACTAGCGACAGTAAGCGCTACCAAACCGAGTTTCCCCTATTCTCGACGATCAAACCGGAAGAGAGCAAGTTCCGGATCCTTGGGACCAAGCTCGAGATGACTCTTGTCAAGGCTGACGGGACGAGCTGGCCAGTGTTGAGGAGTGACGAGAAACCTACTGGTGAGATGATACAGGTCGGCAGGGCCGGAAGGGCCTAGGAACATGGTGGCAGTGCTAGTGACGAGGACATGGTTAGCGTAACAAAAGCATAGCATTTACAAGCACGAAGTTATGACCATTAAGGGTTTGCCCAAGTCTCCATGTGTTTGTGTAGGTGGATGGATGTGCATATCGGAGGGAGATGTGCTTATTAATCATGACGTACCTTCCCCTCAGTGAATCGGCGTTTATGCAATCCGAGTGTGATATGATGCCACTGGTGGATTGGTAAACATATACTTCTGATTAGTATCTCTGGTTGCTGTTATAAGGCGGTAATCGTGAGCTCTTGATAGTGAATAGTGAACAAGATATAAAATTGTCTGTTCTTTCTTCTTGCTCCGACATCACATTGTCCTTTTCTCAAATCACATTACATCATACATCATGACCTCGAGACTGATTACAGTTGTTGCTGGCGTCGGGCCTGGAACCGGGGCATCCATAGCCCGCAAGTTCTCCGCCAAGTACCCTGTAGTGCTGCTTGCGCGCAAGCCGGAGAACTATGAAGGCCTGGCACAAGAAATAAACTCCAAGGGGGGTAAGGCGATTGGCATCAGCACTGACGTGTCAGACGCTGGCAGCCTGGGGGATGCGGTTGCGAAGATCAAGGAAGAATTCGGAGCAGATGTGGGGGCAGCAGCCGCCATCTTTAACGCATCTGGTGGGTTTCTTCGGAAGCCGTTCCTGGAGGTTGGGGCGGATGTTTTCCAGGCCAGCCTGGGGGTTAGCGCAATGGGGGGGATTCTGTTCAGCCAGTCGTTCCTGCCTCTGCTGCTCAAGGGTGTGCAGCAGCAGTCAGAGCACCCGCCGTCGCTCATCTTCACGGGGGCGACAGCATCGGTGAAGAGCAATGCGCAAATGGCATCTTTCTCGACGGGCAAGTGGGCGCTGCGGGCGCTCAGTCAGAGCCTGGCGCGCGAGTTTGGACCGCAGGGGGTGCATGTTGCGCATGCGATTATTGATGGAGTGATTGACATTCCGAGGACCAAGGAATGGCTCAAGGACATGCCTGCTGAGGCAAAGTTGAATGCCGACGCGGTAAGTGTTTATCTCTTACCCTTTTTTGCTTTTTCTGCCTTTTTTTCTTTCTTTCTCGCGAGCAATGTCGGAAACGGGCAATGCAGGGCTAATGGGGAGGGTGATGTGCAGATTGCGAATGATTACTGGTGGTTGCACACGCAGCCCAAGACCAACTTTACGTGGGAAATGGACCTTAGGCCGGGGGTTGAAAAGTGGTAAGAGGGGCGAGGTGGTTGATGGGATGCGAATGCAGGCGCGAGTAGGGAACGGGAGCACGTGGGCGGGTGGACGCATCTAGGCAATTAGAGTAGGTCGGGGAATGGCGATTGGAAGAATAATCACGCAATGCTCTCCACTCTGGTGTGGCACGGTATATGACGGACGTATCAGAGACATATGCAGGTGTGGTTATGTCGCGAAGCCTCAGATGGGCGAGGGAGGCAGATGCACAGGTGTCACCTCTGTCGACAGTCGCGGTAAGCGGGGAGGTGGGAGTGGTTGTGCGCCTGGGGGGAGGGGGCCAGGTGGGCAGGTGGACAGACGGATTGAGCAAGATGCAGCGTAGGCAAGTGTGGCAGCATGGGCAGCGCAGAATCTCACGCTGGCCAGGCTGAGAGTCCGGACGCATGCGTATGCACGACATGGCCCGCTACGCGGCAGCGAAGAGGGGCCCAAACGTTCCCCGCGCATACACGACGAGGCCATGGTGGGCTTGCTATGGCTGGATGGGTAGGGTGGAATGCTTGGCACCACCCCCTCGTGTGCAGGGCCAATTCCACATGGGGTCATGCGAGGCCCGGCAGAGACCATGGCCATGTCCGCACGGAGCAGTGGATTGCTATCGTAGCACTCCGCGGAAGGACGGCGCGCGACAACTCATCAGCCTGTCTGTCAGACGCAACGGCAGTCTGAGATGATACTGTATTTATTTATGTACATAGTATAGGTACCATGGACTGGGTGTCGAGTATGCGCAGGGCGCTCAATGGGGAAGACAGGGCCGAGAGGCTCATGTCATGTGAAAGTCGGACGCCAGCCCACGTGTCGAGTCAATGCGACAGCCAGCACGAGCATCCAATCCATCCATCCATCCATCCATCCATCCATCCAGACAGACAGACATGACACAGACACAGACAAGCGATACGGACAGCGACAACAGCCGCGATCGGTAAGTCGACGGCTTCTTGGCGGGCCGCCGTCCAAGTCGATATCCGCCATGGCTAAGCTAGGCCAGGCCGTGTGCTGGTCGGGGGGCCATGACGTATCAGCAAGCATGACAAGCATAACGTCTTACGGCAGCGCGGCAGACAACGAAAGGCGGACGGTGGACGGGAGGCATCGCTTAAAGGACGGGCGACGCCAAGTTGCCCCGTTGCCCGCGCCCCGTCGATAGGGCAATCATAATCGATGAATTCAATACCCGTCAGGCCCGCAGCTCCACGACCAGCCCAGCACTCCCACCACCACCACCACCACCACCACCATCACTCTGGAACCCCACGATCCGAGGCCAGACTGCCCCCCAGCCTGCCTGTCTGTACACGCTGCCCTCGTGCAGACGACTGAAGTGCTCCCAACGCGCCCCGACTCTGCACTTCTTGCTGCGCCTTTTGCTGCTGTCTGGCCCTGATCGTC